TCAAAATGATGCCGAAGTAACAACATACTGATACCGGTTAGTAAAAACCATGAATTAATGCTTTGACAAGTCTACAGACAGACGGCAGGCGAAAAACCCTTTTAAAATGCGTGCTTTCTAAATGGAGCTTGGCTAAGCTAACGTTATATATGCTCCGACCGTCCACACTCACAACAACGGCCTATACAGACATAAATAAACCAGCGACTGTATTCACCATGACACAGGCAGTCTGTGGTTTGTACTTGTTGGTTTCTGAACAGATATGAAGAGCTGTGAGCTCTGAGTGCTAAGAGCTAACGGCTGTGTTGTTTTTCTGGGGCTCTCATTGAAGATGACGTCACGGCTCCGCCTACACTGCGTTACTATAGTAACTACCCCAGTTCCTAAACTGTAATGGAAGCGCAGCATTAAAGTGAGCCGGGCCTAATAAGGCCTAACCAAACCGAGCGAGTCCTGCAGTGGAAACGCGCCATTAGATGGCCCACAGGGCCATCTCCCAAAATCCTTAATGTCATGCACTGATACAGCTACTCGTATAGTCATACTGTAGCTGCTTTTACAGCATGTATGTTTTGCTCAGGGTTTGCACATTTCAAGTTCATCAACTATTACTTTGAAGATGTATGATTACATTTATTCAAATGCATACAACTAAATATACATTGCTATTAAAAAATATTGTAATACATTACTCATATACTGTGACAGAGTTAAGACTAAAATGTGTATCTCATGCAGCCCCATTTTGTAAATGCATCTTTGCCTCAGGATTGATTTAAAAATGCTTCTTTTAGTTGTAATGTCTTCATGTTCTTCATCTATATCATAGGGAAACAATATAACATGTAGTCCAAAATAAGTACTCATTCAAACATTTCTCATTGGTGGTTGCTACTGCTCCACTAAAGATTTGAGTCTTCTGACCTCAAATTGTGCAACTTTCTTTCATCTGACATCTTTCATTACTTCAATACTTTTAAGTCTTAATTATACCCATTTAAAATGGGTAGTTATTATTTTAGTATTACTTTTAATAGCTTTTTTAACAGTTGAGCTGATTTTAATAATGTGAATCTATTAGTTAACTGTGGTTTTCATTTTTGAAGAAAAGCTGATACATTATTGTTGCTGCTAACATATTGAAAAAGGTTTGGTTTAATTATACGGTATGCTACTTTTTAAAACAGTACCTCCATGCCCTTTCAAACCACATGTATGTGGTTGATCCTCTGCAAGGGTCAAATGAAGTTGAGGACTCTAGAAAGGCTGGTTACAAATTTGGGTAATATCAAATATATTACAGGAAATACATTGGTTAAACGCACATTTGGTAAAGGCAAAGAGTAAGCGCCAATTACATTTTTTTCCCTATTGTTCTATAGAGAGTATTTCAAGATGCGCCGGAACAGACTGGGAAAAGAGGACTGGGTTAACATCAAATGGCAGCCTGGAAAGATAACCCACACCTTCCAGAAAGATGTCACCAGCTGTGGAGCCTTTGTCATGCAGGTGATTCAATGAAACATGTTGTGTTCATTAATAATAAAGCATTTTATTTTAAAGGGAAATTCAAAAACACGTCATAACGTCATGTTATTTTACCATCTGTCCAGATGGCCGAGATGACAGTGAAGGAATTTCCGTAAATTCCACAGACGTTTCACATCAAGTCATCAAAACAATGTCTTCAACATCTACGAAGAGACATGGCAGAAGAAATCCTCAAAGGATCAGGTATTAGCCAAAAATATGAAATGAATATATGGACGGCTTCCTGTAAATTGAACCTGTTATTTTTTCAGTTTCAAAGGATGACTTCTGTTCCTTCTGTAGAATTGAGGACCTGCCCACAACTGCTGTTGATGCTGTTTGGGTGAGGCTAAATGATGAATGGTTTTGAAACTCCAGAAGATAATCTGAATAGTAGATAATATATAGATCATCTGGAGTTAGATTTCAGGAATAACATAAAAGTAATGACATTTTGTATATTTTTATTAGTGCTGTCAAAATTATCGCGTTAACGGCGGTAATTAATTTTTTGAATGAATTGCGTTAAAATATTTAACGCATTTAACGCATGTGCAGAATGGCCCGCCCCATACGTGCCACCAGTGGCAGCGCCAGGGTATGGCTGGGGTAGGCTACACCCATACCAAGAAATGGCTTAGCCCCACCATGAAAAATGATGTTAAAGTAAGCAAAATAAAGTCTGCCAACTCACGCGGAGTAAATTGCACAGACAGCAGTTAGTAAGATTGATTTCAGTAGCCACGGTTTTGAAAACTTTTGTCACGTAGTGATCGTCTTCTCAATAGAACATCTTTGATAACGGCGTGGTGTTGTTGCAGGAAGTCCCGACGGAGAATACTTTTGCTGTAGTACAGGGGTGCACATAACTGGTACGCAGGTTATGTGCGTAATCTGAAATGCGTACCGTCACTTGTGTCACAAAGCGCATTTGCGTACCGACGTACTTGTGAAGCTTTCCCAGAAGGCGGTTAGATCACCGGACGACAGAGTCGGCTCCGTGTGCACAGACAGGGCTGCTGTTAACGTCGGTCTGTACAACGGAATTGTGCCAAAACTACGCCAACCGGCTGCGGAGGGAGACTCTCTTCCCCCCCCCCCCCCCCCCCTTCACTGGAGAACTGCGCTAAAACAGCTGATCACAACGTTCACACTCTGTGGTCAAGAAGTACTCCACGAGCCGCCGCCCCCCCCCCCCCCTCTGTCGACTTTCCTGAAGTACTCCCCCGTTGATAGAAATCAACACGTAATGAATTAAGACCCCACGGTTTGATGATTGATAGGTGTGTGGGTTGTCTTTTATTTTGACACGCAGAAAATGTTATAATAAACATAGATACTGTATGTGAAATGGATATATCCGCCTTCTTTCCATTCCCACAACAATATACATAAATAAATGGCATATTTTGGAAAATAGTTCGAATGGTGATTAATCATGATTAATTAATTTTTAAGCTGTGATTAATCTGATTAAAAATGTTAATCGTTTGACAGCCCTAATTTTTATGCATTACAGGTTTCCTTTTGTTTTTCTTATAATTTGTTAAAGTTTTAGCACAGTACAGATAAACCTGAATAACAACAAGTATTTATATATATTTTTTTTTTTTAAAAGTATAATCTCTATAAAATATAAATGAATATGCCTGCTTTACAAGTGTCCTACACTTTACATTTTCTTAATATCTTTGTTGTATTTGTCCCCATGTAGATTCAGTGTGAAACTTGTGGGAGATGGTTTCACACGCAGTGCCTTGTATTGGTGCCTGCTGCACCAATACAAAGAAAGACCCCGTGGTATTGTGTGTTGTGTATCCTCCCTAACTAAAGAGGCTAGAGGTGAGTTTGTGTAACTTTTACCAGAGGAACCAGGATTTGGGGAGGTAAGGCTTGTAGTTTGAACTACTACCACAGTAGAAGTAGTGCGCTTACAAACGGCATGTGGGGGGGAAATCCAGCCCAGCCAGTGATTTCAAATCGGCAAAATGAAAGCTGAACAAAACACAAACAAAAATCCAGAAAAAAGCTTTGCTAAATATTTTGGGCAACTGAAGTAATGATTAATAATCACCTGTCCATAGTTTTAAATTGTTATATTCTTAATTAAGATGTTAAATATATTTTCAATTACAGATGAAAGTAGTCACAGATGTTCACGATGTTTTCCATGTCTGACATTAGATTGTAGATGTGTTCATTAATATTGTACAGTAAGATAGGTGAAAAGCCTGAAATGTTTTATTTGTAATGTTAACTTTATGTTGTCACAGTCTGCTCCATCATTCACCAGTAGTTTTCCATTCACCTGTCTCACCTGTTAACCACACCCACGTTTTTGCTCACTCTCTTTCTCTTCACTGCAGTATTTAAACCCTCACCAGACACACACCCGTTGCCACATCCTACTTTGCCTTCATGCTAGTCTTTCACGCGTTTGTTACCAGATTGCCTACCCGGTTCCGACCCTGCCTGCTCTGCTGATCCCCGATCCTGCCTGTCCTTGGACTATCCTGCCATGCCTGCAGTCTGACCCTGCCTGTACCTACGCTGACCGCCTCGCCTGCTCCCTGACCTTCTGCCCGCTGTCCTCTGGTTCGTTTGCCTGCACATCATTCGGCTGATACTGTTCTGTTATCCCTCTGCTCTGGTAGTATTACCAATAAAGTTCATTAGCCTACTCCTTGGTTTCTCGAGTGCTGCATTTGGGTCCTTCGTAGGATTGTGACCATTTTACTGTTTCATAGCTAATGAAAAAGCTGTTTCATGTCTTAATTTATATATAACATACTGTATATACAATGTGTAACATTGTATGTTATAATATATTATAAATCTTCCCCAAAATTATTCCAAACCATATTCTTCCAAACTCTCTGCTGTAGTATGACCACCAGGAGACTATTGATGTGTGTGGTGAGTTTGGTAGTAATAAACTGTATAATAGTGATTGAATATTATTGTATTCTCTTTTTTCGGAGTTGCACTTTGCAGACGGTCCCTGACCACTCGTTTCTTCTCCGGCTGCAGAAAGAGACCAATTTAATGTGTCCAGCTCGGAGGACGGCGCATATTGGCTTTTTTTGATCAACATGTGATTGTAGTTCGTTGTCAACCTTACCACGGTACATAGGAGACGTACTTTGTGTCTGAATAACGTTTTGTTATTGATCCGTGAAATCCGAATCTGCCAATATCGTTCTAACTTTACTCAACTGGAACTCAATAGGAGACGTAATACTTGTGTTATTGGATGCTTATTGGCTATATTAGCCGTTACAGCACTATGTCTGAACATGTTAGCAAATGCGTGATAATTTCAATAAAAGCAAAGGGTGCTGGGCTTACAAAATAAAAAGTTACAAAAAGTTATAAAACACTCAACCGATTCCTGTCGAGGCTACACTAAGGCAAAGCTACATGCACGCTAACTAGCCTATAGCAAATATTAATATGGAAACACTTACAGCTTCCGAATTCGTGTTCCGGATGGTTGGAATTGACCCAGTCTTTAGCCTTAGTTTGGTGGCAAATCCACTTTTGACTTGACTTAAGTTAATAAACAAGTCCGCCGTAAAATGTTTCGAACACACAACCATACATTTGTTCTGGTATTCTGGCACATTCCCGTTGTAAATGAAGTCCATCCACAGTTTCTTGTCTTTCTCCGAAGTTGGCATTGAATGCAGTGTCTTGTCCGGATAGTCGCAGCCAACAACAACACAACGTTTGGATGTCTTATACATCTTGTTTGTAAGAGCCGGCCAAAAACACAAATGCTAGTGGGGGGAGCGATTCAGCTAGCCGACTGTATTATGCAGTGTGGCCAACTCCATAGTAAGGAGAGAGTAGCTATTGGCTGTCATAAAAGTCGCGAGAAGTCTCCCAATGACGTCATCACGTAATTTTCACGTCATGTAGTGGACGCTGTAGGAGTGATAACGCGGGAAAGACAACAACTACAACTTTCTTCTGTTGATTCTTGATTGATTGATTGATTGAAAAGTTTATTAACAGCTTGTATATTGGGTACAGTACAGTACAGCTCAAAACATACAATTGTTAAGGGGATGCAGACCAGAGAAAGACTTTCGTCTTGTTTACATCAGGGTCCCGGTCCCCCATTTCCAATTAATCAATTCTGTTATTTTTATTTTTATTTGGCCATTGAAATAGGCTTGAATCTCAAAATAGCTTCATGACTTTAATGCTTTGTCTAGACCCACATTACATAAATCACTTTTAGTCCTGTGGCCTATTGTTAAATGCTAAAACATAGAATTGTGGAAATGCTACGTCCAACCCTCCTCCTCTATCCGGGCTTGGGACCGGCAGAAACACTCTGGCAGAGTTACTTACGTTTTTACAGTTTTAATTTGATAGTTTTATTATTTAGAATGTATTTAATGTATTATCCTAATAGTTATCACTGATCAACAGTATTTCATTGTATTTCACTGTACATATTAAACCTTACATTCTGTTCTTTCAACTGCTATATTTTATTCAAATGTATCGCACTCTGTTTCATTTGCACTATTTTATTTTTGCATTATTCATATTGTTTAGTTTGATAAAATTAAATGTAATTAAATGTACTAGTTTAATGATTGTTCTTCAAAGGTATTATTCAGTCGTAAACAAAATAATAGCCTACTGAATAGGCTACTCTACAGCAGTGAATGAAGGATGAGCCTAAAACATGGTCATGCATCCAAAATGTTTATTTTTAACAAAATAAACACTTTTTTTTAAAAAATTAGCACTTTTTTGTATTCAGCCTCATATGTCAGCCATGGCTGTTGCTGCTGCTGCTGGCGGAGGCTGCTGCTGCTGAAGGAGGGTGCTGCTGCTGGAGGGTGCTGCTGCTGAAGGAGGGTGCTGCTGCTGGAGGAGGGTGCTGCTGCTGGAGGAGGGTGCTGCTGCTGGAGGGTGCTGCTGCTGAAGGAGGCTGGTGCTGGCAACGGCTGCAGGTGATGACTGCTGAAAGAAGAGGAGGCTGGAGGCTGCTGACGGTGGACCAGGAATGGAGATGCCAAGTACATCGATGGCAACGAGTAAGGTGTTTGGCAGTGGCCTAGATGTTATGACCTTCGGTGCAGAGGTCTGTTGGGTCTTCTTTGCCTTCTTACTCTGACTCTTACTGCCAAGATACCCTTTATGTTTATCCTTCCTCTCAGCCCTGATGCACTTTGATGCAATCCTTAACCTCAGCCTGATGTATGTTGAGAGGATTTTTTTCTTCAGGTCATGGCATGAGGGAAGGTTGCTGTCCAGCAACATGGCTTCTTGTTCCAGCTGTGACACTGCATTTGAGGACTCTATGAGGGAATCGCTCGTCCTCACACGGAACAGCTGCTCCACGTTCTGAACAAGGGTGAAAACCTCATCAGATGGACGGTAATCTGGCTCTAATTTGGTCTGTGTTGAAGATTTTTTTAAATGTTAGATTAATCAAATTGTGTTGTTTTTTTTAATGCCGAATTAATCCTTTTCCGGTTTACCAGAGCCCTCTCTGCTCTCTTTCTTAGTAATCTCTTCCTTCTCAGTTGCCTCATTAGATCCTCCACGTGAGCCCGGTCACAACTGGCCCTTGGCAGTCTGGTCCCTGGAGCACCTGACCCTGGCAAACTGGCCTCTTCATAGCTGACCCCTGACTGACTGGCTCCTGGCACACTGATCTCTGGTAAGGTGGCCTCTTGATTGTCGGCCCCTGACATACTGGCCCCTGGCAGTCTGCTGACATCTGTCTCACTCTCTCTGTCTGTTATGTCCCTTTCATTCCCTTGGAACTCCACCTCAATAGCTCCCTGAATCTCTGTAACAATAACAAGGCAATCTTGCTGTTATATGTATATGCTGCCTTTACTTGTGCACCTATTGTCATTTAAGGGTACGTACACTACACTCCTATAGTGACATTCATCTAAATTCGTCTATTGGCAATGTTAAAGTATGAAGAAATCTGTAGATTATCTACATGTGGTATATGAGTCTTCAGAGAATCCCTGAACCCTGGTAGTTTTGAAGCTGTATAATCTGAAGGTTGCATAGGAGTGTAGTCTATCCTTGAATTATATAACATGGGAAACATTGTTAGCTTCCTATATCATACCAATGTTTGATGTGCCATAATAGGTGTGGTCATCATTCCTGACATTAACAGCTGGAGGCATACTCCTTGACTGTTGTTGTCTGTTGACCATTGCCATCCATCTCTTCCTTCGCTCTACGTCCTTAGGGAAGCCATACATCCGGAACCCCTTCTCGGATCGATTAGAGCATCCAAATGCTGCACATCCAACCATGGTATGACAACTGATCTATTAAAATGCAATATAAACGAAAGTGCCATCATATTTGTTGTGCAAACATTTTAACATGAATATTGCTATGTCCTCTGTTCAGTCTGCTCCCAACTGTATTCTCTCCCCTTATTCACCACTGTTCCTATTCTTGCTCTGCTTTTTAGGGCCCAGGAAACAGATGAAGAGGATGAACCTTTTTGTTTTTTCAAAATGGTTAGGCTCCTGGATGACTTAGAGTTCTGTATTGCTTTTTTGTAAATAGTTGCTTACCCTAACCCTTTTTTGTAAATAGTTGTTTGTAAATATTTGTAAAATGTTTACAAACCCCCCCCCCCACAATTGTTGTTCGCACAATTACAGTATGCTTCTGTTTTTCACTTTTTGGTGTCCATTGTTCAGCCACTGTATTGGTAAGCAACAATTTGTTTTGGCCAAAATGTGTTATTCACACTCCTGACTCCAGTTTGATGTGCTGCACTCCTCTGAGTGGTCCTGATTTCAGGCAGAGGTCATGGCTTGGAAGGTTTTATATCCTGTAGTGCCACAACAGAACCTAATATGAATTGCTTTTTTCAGTTTCTCTTTTTTTTGTATTGTCTCGTCGCTGGATCATAGAAGAACATGACAGCGCAGCGCAACTATACTACGGACGTGACTGCCCTGGCAGTGACAGCAACATAGCCTGCTTGTGCTACCACACTTTCCCCTCAAAATATCGTTAAATAACGAAACTTGTAAATAGTGCCAATCCATACAAAGTGTAACCACATCATGTAAATATGAAAGCAATCTTTAAAAAATAACAGCGTTGGTTTAATCTATAACTATTTTGAGCATGTTTGTGCTGCTTTTGCCATAGAGAAGCATTGCAACGGAAGTGCGTTTGGAACTATCCCGGCATACATAAACCACGTGACCGGCTGGCGGCGACATCAAAGAGTGTCGTAACTCTTATCTCTCTAGGGCTCTGTCCATTGCCATAACTACACTGTAGCTACTATGATAATAAAAACCCTTGAATCTTTTGTGGGTTTCTTTAGTTTGGTTTACTTTTCTAACCTTATGATCCACTTGAGAGCCTACAACAAGTCAAAGAAAAACATGAACATTTTTGCCATTACTACAACATTTGTCTTTGTTTTTTTTAATTTAAAAGTTTGGTTTACTTTCTAATTGTATGTTCCACTTAGGAGCGTACAACACAGTAAAACATGAAAATGTGTTGTTTTTTTTCCGACCCCCCCTACACACATATGTCATCTTTATTTTTGTTAAAGGCTTTCTATGGCAGGTTCAGCCACTGAGCTGATGTGCCAACAAGCTGCAAAACATTATCAGGCAGCTTGTGATCATAGCAAGCCTCACCAGACAGCTTCAGACCATATCGTACATACAGGATGGAGTTAAGGGTCTGCAAGGACATCCGATTTCTAAATTGGCTTTTTACCACACTCATCTGGCTGAATAATCTCTCAACTTCAGCATTCAAGTGTCGCAAGGGCAGCACAGACACAGCAGCCATGGCAAGTTCCTGAAATGGGTTGATATCGGGAGGCGTGTGGTGCAGTGGGTTGAGCGTTGGTGTTCGGATCAGGGGGTCACAGGTTCAAACCTCACTGCAGTCAGCATGTCGTTGTGTCCCTGGGCAAGACACTTCACCCCAAATTGCTCCTGTGGGGATTGTCCACAGTATTGAGTATGTAAGTCGCTTTGGATAAAAGCGTCTAACAAGTGACATGTAATGTAATGATATCAGCTGAAGCCCACTGTGTTTTTTGTTTCATTCCACTTTCTCAGATGGATGTGGGATATTATTTAGATTTAGTGTGCAAGAATGACATGAAAAAATTAAATATGTAAAATGTGTTTTTTTTAGTTCTATATATCATTACATGGTACTATGACGTTTTACAAAGAAGACAAGTTTTAATGAAAGACACTTAAGAATAATTGTAGCAGTTTTTTTATCACCTTTTGTCGATGAACTAGGAGCTGTAATAGTACTGGTCAGAGCCCTAGAGATACTATCTCTAGAGCTCTGGTACTGGTTACCGTACGTCATCGTGACGTAGTTGTAAACACGGAAGTCGATTCTGAACGTGTGGCAAACACATTTTAGCTAGCAGCAGTTCGTTTGCCGCTTCTGTGATACGCGCTACTGTGAGTAAACCTGACTCACGCGTTGAACAACAACACTGCGTCTATTAACAGTATTAAATAATATTAAGAGTATTAACTTAACACCAATGGTGACGAGGTAGGAGCACGCGCAGGCTGTTAGCAGTGAAGCTAACATGTCAAAGAGTTATCCCACACCTGTTTACTGTCATGCTGCACGAGGAGACTTCCGGGATGTTTACGATCCGGCGGAGGACTCTTTCCTCCTGATTGACGCCTTGGAGAAGGACGCAGAGAGGCTGCAGCTGATGAGGTCAGACACAGCGCACCTGAACGCATCACATGTGCAGTGCAGGCTATGGTGCAGTGGTGGAAAGTCACTAAGTGCATGGATAAGGGAATAAATCATTGTTTATGAGTTTTACACAAAGGAACAAAACAGTAAAGTCCTGCTTTGTGCATCGGATGAAATATAGTGGTCTCAAAGGACATTTCCCTGCAGAATCACTACTTTCAAATATTTGAGTACATTTTGCTTGCAGTTGAGTAAATATTAATACAGTCAGAGGTGGGAAGTACATTTACTCAAGTAATGTACTTAAGTACAATTTTGAGGTACTTGAGTTTTACTTGAATATGTCCATTTGATGTTACATTTTACTTCTACTCCACTACATTTAAAAGCTCTAAAAATTCAATTAGTGGACTAACTCTTCAAGTTTTTATTTTACAAAAAGTAAATCAGAACTTTGTTTCTCTACAACAGTCAAATGCTACTTGATGCAGCAATATCATGTGGAAATGTCATATATATATAATTATATACACACAAAGGCCATTTTTCTGATGATTACTTTTGTACTTTTACATGAGTAAGATTTTGAATGCAGGACTTTTACTTGTGATTAAGTATGTTGACAGTAATGTATAGGACCTATACATTATTGTCAACATACTTGAGTAAAAGTACCTATACTATAGGTACTTTTACTCGAGGACAGCATGTTGTACTTGTATACTCACCATCATGTTTATAGTATGTTTAAGTATAGCAGGATTTGAACACTTACTCCACCTCTGGTTTACTGTGTGTATCTCTCTGCTGTTTCCAGCCCATGTGTGTGTCTGGAGGTGGGCAGCGGCTCAGGAGCAGTCTCAGCTTTCCTGGCCTCAGTGGTCGGACCCTCAGCTCTATATCTGTGAGTTTAAAAAATACTTATTTCTCATATCCAGCCGATAATTGCTTGTTGTAAAAGACACTTGACAATCCTAAAAACAGCAATGGTCTCTCTTCAGTTGCACTGATGTGAATCCTGCCGCAGCACAGTGCACCGCAAAGACGGCTTCCTGCAACGATGTGTCCCTGCAGCCTGTCCTCACATCCCTGGTGAGACGTGAGACATTCACAGCTCAGGACTTAACATGCTTTTAAAGGTGTCCTATCATGCAAAATGCACTTTCTGATGTCTTTTATACATACATGTGTGTCCCCGGTGTGTCAGGGAACTCACAAAACGTCAGAAAACAAATCCCTCTCTCTTTTCCTCCGTACCCAAATCTCTAAAAACGGGGGTACAACGGAGCTGATCCAGATTTTCTGCCGATATGACGTAATATCGGAAATGTGGGCTGGCTTTACGCCCACGGCCCTATCAGAAACGTCGCTATCAGAAACAATGCACAACGTGTTTTGGACGTAATATGGTCTTTGTTTACATTAGCAAGCATCGCTAACACAGAGCTAACCTGTACTGGAGAGAATATGTGTAAAGAAGCAGGATATAAAAAGGAACTCACCTTGTAGTAAACCCGCAAAAGAGGAAGTGTTTGAGCTCCATACTGTTTCAGAAATAATCCTTAATGTGGTTTTGAACACATTTAGCTGAGTATCTGGGTAGAATTCTCCTGCATGTTTTGTTTTTAAAGCTAAGGACCCAGAATCAGCACTTCTGTAACAGGGCTGAAATAGAGGGGTATGAGGCATTGCTAGAATGAGTGATCTGTTTGGTATTCTGAGCAAAACACTTCATAGACATGTAATATATGCCTTCAATTATTATAATAGGAGACCTTTAAGTGCGAGAATTTGATCGTTTAAGGCTGTTTTCCTGTTGTTCTTAAAGGTGGACAGTCTTCTCCCCCGCTTAAGTGGGAAAGTGGATGTCCTTCTCTTCAACCCTCCGTATGTGGTGACGCCTTCAGAAGAGGTCTGTACAGCAGGTTCAGGTTGTCTTCAGCTCACAGATGAGGAGCATTTTTTTAATAAAAGTCACTTTTCTCCCAGGTGGGGGGCACGGGTATAGAGGCTGCCTGGGCCGGGGGGGAGCGAGGACGAGAGGTGACCGACAGATTTCTGCCTGTGGTGGCACAGCTGCTCTCCAATAAAGGGTTATTTTACCTCATTACTATCGCTGAGAACGACCCAGGTGAGTTAACCGAGGAAATGAATATCAGTGCTGGAAACATTCTGGATAAAAGATCAATATTATTTTCTTTTTCTCACCAGAGGAGATCATCCGTCTACTGGGCAAATGTGGGTTGAAGGGAGAGGCATGCTTGTCTACAAGAGCTGGAAATGAGAGGCTGTCTGTCCTGCGCTTCCATAAGAGCTAAGCAACAAGGAACTGTCACAAATACATCCTCTGAGAAGATGACAGGAACTCTAAACTGACTTTGAAACAGTATGGCTGCAAGGACACATCTTTGAAAGATTCATCAGACAACACTTTTCTCGATCAAAACTCAGCATTGTGAAAGAAATGGGCTGGGGAGAAAGACTAAGGTGTCTCTGATGCAGAAAGGAAATTAAACAAATGTTTCACAAAGATAACTCCTTGTATTCACACTTTTTTTTTAAGCTACAAAGACATTTAAGAAAAATCCTAACATACTTCATATAGCTTTACAATTTAGATCGCCATTACTTTTTTTATTTCAAGATTTATATTTCAGTGAAAACCATTGGAATTGAGTTTTAAGTATGGTTCTTCTTTGCACAATAAGTTAAAAAGCTAATGCGACCTTTAAAGGTCCCAAGGCTTTCGCCACTGTATAGTTAGTTTAATAGGTTTATTTTTCCGCTACTTTGTGCATTACGGGACGAGTTGTGTTCGTATGTGGAAAACTCATACTCAGTGCGGTGAGCGCTGGCTTTATTGCTACTGTATCCGTAGCACGCAATAGTTGGGACTGTGTAATGACGTCAGTAAAAAAGGTTTGCTCCCCCCAAACGCAAATGTCAAACTCCGCCTATGATACAGAGATGCTGTATGAGAAACCAATGTGAGTTTGGAAAATTGCACAGTATAAATCTACTCTAGTAGACCTCAACAATGGAATTATGATCAGTAGAAATGGCCATGACATGGAACCTTTAAGCATCCGAAAAAACGATGGGAGTATGACAATCCAAACAAATTGGCATATTAGAACAGTCAAAAGTGAATTTCTTGCACTAGTCTGATGCCCAGGTACCCAGGTCTTTTGTATTATAGAACCAGTTTTAAGTAACAGAAGTAATTTGTTGTAAAAAGCTTGCAGTAATGTAAAGTTGGGCTGGACGTGTTTAACTATGCCAATTGGAAGTTATTTTGTGCATCATGTATTTTTGCAGGTGGACTGGTGTGTTAAATGTGCAGTTGTTCCTCAGTCCACCTGCAAACTTCCCTGATCCCTGGAAGAGCAGCAGCCTGCCCGGTACCATTCATGCATCTCACATCCGCCAAGTAGTCAAAACCTCATTTTACCACCTCTAGTGTTGACAGCAGATAACAGGAATGTATTCATCCAGCTGCAGGTATAGCTCACCGAGATAAATTCCAGAAGTGTAGGGATCTAATCCCATTTCTCTTCTTCATTTTCCCTCAGTATTGTGAACAACAAATACAGCGAAGTTTAAGATGCTGAGAGCTGTTGACCTAAAATGGAAATATTAGATGCCCAAGGGTGTGTAACATTTATCCTCCCTGGAAAATGTTAAATAAACCGACAAGTACTAGAACACTTATGTTGCCATGAATAAAAGTAAACACCTATCTTGACATGATTTATGTACCCCAACGTATTTTTCTTTTCGAGAGCCCCAGTTCCTTATTTGTTTTTACAGATGTCATTATAAGGACGTTTTCAATCTTGAGATGAGTGGGGGGAAATAATACTACAGATTTGGTATTAAAGATACCTTTTTATAACCATATCACACATTTAATTATTGCTAGGAATCATCTTTAACATACATTTCCAGAAACAAATCCTACCGAGCATTCTTGTATTTTTTTTTATATGCATTTACTCAAGTATTCATTTGATTATATTTTAGTTTGGTTAACATTTTTCACATTCCTGTTTACAAATGATACGGTTTAAAGTAAAAGTGTTTTTGGTTATAACCCTACCACTAGGTGGCAACATCTGCGTTATACTAATATCAGTTTGTTGCATACTGATTACAGCATGTTCAACCAATTAAAACGGGTTGAGTAAAGTTAAAAGTTGCAGATTTATATTTCAACATGAGAATGTTTTATTCAGTGTGTTTTATTAAAATGTTTCACTCGATCCAGTTCATCACAGTAACAAAAGTGTCAGGTTTCTGTGAAATGTGCCATGGTGACAGTCATTTAAAAACACAAACAAAAAGGTGCTACATTATGCCGTGTATAACTGTGACATCTCCAAAAACACATTTAATTAACAGTTTTCCCCATAAACCAGAATATCAAATTCAAAAAGAAGTGCAGGTATTAGTAAACAGAACAAATATCAATCAATTCAGAGATTAGTACAAAGTGCAACAAGAGCAAATCCCTTTAAGGGCGTTAAAAAGTTATTATGCACAGTTTTGTGAGACAATTATTGTAAACACATTCAGACACTTTCCTTTTGGTCACATTTAAAAATCAATAATATTGCATCAATATATATTTATATAATTAGCACACTTATAGTTAGATTTGTACATTAATACATACTTTAATGTCTTGTAAAAATTCGACCAAATGTGCCCAAACCAGGGATCAACTCATTTTTAGCAGCATCTTTGGCGCTTGTTGCCAGAGGGAAAGCACCTGATTAGTTAGAAATGTCCTTTTAAAATAAATATATAAATACAGTATCGTAAGGATCACTTCATAGAAACTGGCAGCCCTCATTTAGCAGGTTAGTACCCCACAGACAGTGGCTTATTGCACAAGAGCATCAGGGAACAACTCCCCATTGGCACACACCAATAAAATCAGACCTGACATTCAGTCACTCACATCCGGAAACACACAACCCGCCTTCCCCGAAGAAATTCTGCATAGAATTCAAAATGGATGACACGAGAGATCACTTTGGCCTTTTTGGATAACATTTCTCTACTCTATGCAGGATCTATGCAGAATGTAAGGTTACTTTTTGGTCAAACCCATTCAAAATGTCCCCACGGAAGAATGTTGAGTGACCCCAGCCAGCGGGGTTGTCTCCTCTTCATCAGTAGCAGCCGTCTCTCCAGTTGCTGTCACGGAGGGCACTGAAGGTGGTCAAGGTCTTTGGAGGCGTCAGTAAACTGGAAAACAAAATAAGTCTTAAAGCTCACCTATTATGCTATTATTAAACAGTATATTATAGGGCCATATCTATACAAAACATGTCTCTGAAGTGTTTTGCTCAAAACACCAAACAGATCACCCATTGTAGCCATGCCTCATACCCCTCTATTTCAGCCTCGTTACAAAAGTGCTGATTCTGGGTCTGGCCCTTTAAATGTAACCGAGCTGCTGCTGGCCACGCCCCTTTGGAGCATCCGCATGCAAGCAGTGAGCTCTGTGAAGAGAAGGCTGTCTACCAGCGGAAACTCAGCTAAATGCTGCCGTGGTTAAACGCCATATTATGTTCCAAACCACATCAAGGATTATTTCTGAAACAGTATGGAGCTCAAACTCTTTCTCTCTCGCGGGTTTACCACAAGGTGAGTTCCTTTTTATTTCCTGCTTCTTTACACATACTCTCTCCAGTACAGGTTAGCTCTGAGTGTTAGCGATGCTTGCTAATGTAAACACAGACCATAAAACACATCGCGCATTGTTTCTGATACAGCAACGTTTCTGATTCTGGGGTGGAACGTTGCCAGGAGTTCAACGTAAAGCCCGCCCACATTTTAGTAATGTCGTCATGACCGCAGCAAATCTGGATCAGCTCCGTTGTTCCCCCGTTTTTAGAGATGTGGGTACGGAGGAAAAGAGAGAGGGTTGTATTTTCTGACACTTTGTGAGTCTCCTTACACACCGGGGACACATATTTATTTAAAAAGACATCAAAAAGTGCATTTTGCATAATAGGTGTGCTTTTAGAGAATACAAATAATACATTACATTTTGATAGCGCTTTTCCTGGTGCTCAAAGCGCTTAAGGGATTTACCTTCGTGCTGATTGGGCCACCTTGCTGCGAGAGGTGGAGCTTGATGTGCTGAATAATGAGGCTGGGCGAGGCAGGCTGCTGCGGGCCGTGAGCGGGGTGGAAGTGGCTGCCCCCCCCCCACTTTGAGCTTTACTGATTATAGGGATGCCACTACCCCCCCCGCTGCTTCCACTGCTGCTGTTCAGTGAGTGGAGGCTTGTGGAGGTTGCCATGGAGCCCTTGATGGTGGGACTGACGTAGGCGGTGGCTTTTAAAGTCTGCCGTGACATGGAGGAGAAGTTCCCGACGCTCTGGACTCTGTTCTGCAGCTGGCCTGGGGAGGGGACTGGAAACAAAGATTCAATGAGCGTGTTTCTTTCACGATTCAATAAATACAGCTCTAGAAATGAGAGAAACCGTCTTACTGGAGGACTGCAGTCGAGCCAGCCCACTGGACGAATCAAAACTCTGGCTGTTACGAAGCAAACAAAGGGAAGCGCTAGGATTGGTTGGAATGGGCACACTGGGCATGCTGGGAGCTCGGACCAGGTTAGGCATGCTCCTGCGCAGATAATCTGACAAACACACAAATGCAAATAAAAAAGTTAAAAGATGCACCACGGTAGATTTTAATTCTCAAAATACAAATAAATAAACCTTATACTGCTTAGTGTGAGCTGCATGCCTAGAATTTGAACGTTTGTGGCCCTTTTTTGATACAATTGAACTATTCTATGTAAGATGTATGCAGTTACTTTTTGATCAAACCCATATCTGACAGAGACCGACACACAACTGAACATTCATGAAGTAAAAAACTGCACTAGGGCAGGTTTTAATCACTCACTAAGGCTCAAGATGGAAATAAATAAACATTATACTGTTTATGTGCCTGTTGCTTTATAACGATCCCTTGAGACGGCACATAAAGCTGGCTGTAACAACCACAGTCAGACATACAGCCCTAATCCCTTCAAACTCTCTCTCTCCAGTCTGAGGCTTTGAGGGTGGATGTACAAGAGGCTTACGCAGAGTTATTATTAAGTTGTAAGGACATCAGTGTGGGTCAGTCCTCAGCTGAGACGCATGATTAAATAGCAAAGGCGGGACACATCTCAAAGTGAGGAAAATTATGAAAAAGCATATTCAATAGTAATGAATTAATGGGTTTAACATAGCTGGGAGAGTTGGATTAAATATTACTTTGATTTATTTATATGAGGTTATTAGACTTTAATTTAATTTTGGATTAAGAGGAAAACATGTCGACTTACTCTCATGTTCGGCTGGACGCCGTGATGAAGTTTCCCCAAAACAATATGCCCAATAGGCAACACGTATAAACAAATACACACAGAAATATTTCACGTACAAAACATATAAACAAAGAGATAACTGATTAGTACTTCGGACACAGTTCAAAGAACGCAAGGTAAGATAGCATGTCTATCCCACTCTTCTGGAACAAAACATTTCAATGGGTTCAGAAAGACTTATTTCCACCCCTGCTACAAGATTTGGACAATTGCTTTATTTTATAGGTCTATTGCAAGACCCAAACGTTTTTTCCCTCAATCCAATTTAGTAGTTTCTTAACATCAGATATTGAGTGCATGTTTCCATCTTGATGGAGATTGCACTTCCCTTTCCCTGGCTCTTTGGAAGTCGTGGTCACACGATGAATACACGTCCAACATTCAGTCTCCTTTTAGCTCAGTTTTGGTCTCCACCATCTCCTAAAAAGTTAAATATCTGCCTCTCCTACTGAATGATACACCAAAGGGTAAGATAAGAGCATTGGTGTATCAGTTTGATGGGGATTGGTAGAGTTTTTTGCCCTTTCACTGTCTTATTGGAAGTTGGGTCACAAAGATTAGACGTCCAATATTCAGTCTCCTTTAGCTCCGGTTTAGTCTCCACCATCTTCTAAAAAGTTATATCTGGCTCTCCTTCTACTAAATGCCACACCAATGGGTATTTAAGCTTCTTCCCCTCCCCTATGAGAGATATATTATCTGCAGTGACTTTTGCACCAGTGTTCCTTATTGGAAAAGAGGCTACAAAGCGTTGAAAGGGTCTTCCCTCACCTGACCCGGGCCTGAAGCCGTGCTGCTCGGGCTGGGTTTGGAGCTGAGGCTGGAAGGCGAACCCTGCGGAGAGGTGAGGGGGAGTGGAGGGCGGGGTGGACAGGGAGCTGGTGCTTCTTCGCCAGTCTCGGACGCTGGAGAAAGTATGGGAGTGGGGCAGGCGGGTGAGGCGAGGCTGCGCGGGGGGCAGGAGGCCGTAGTCTTCGTCGTCCTCCTCCTCCTCGTCTTCCTCCTCCAGGCCGAGCCCGGCGCTGAGCTGGCTGAGCTGGAACGTGAAGCTCTGACTGCGGCGGGGGCCCAGGACGGACGACGTGCTGGCATAGTCCTGCCTTAGACCTGGGGGAGCGAGATATGAGGACCAGCGTGCAACACACGTGCAACACACACACACACACACACACACACACATCACCTCCTGGGGTTAATGAAGCTGAAGTAGTGATGAGCTCTGAGATCTGGTGACATATGTTAAATATTAGAGGGGGGACAGTAGAGACAGATGGTCAGCTGGTACACAATGACACAGAAACAATGAAAACATACTGGAAAAACTGACACATTTAAACATGAAATACATGTTCCTGATAAAGTTCAGGGGCCTCATTTATAAAGCCTTGCTTACGTAAGACAAAGCAAATAAATACGCACAGACATTTTCCGATTCATAAAACACTGCGTACCGGCACAGGACTTGCGTACGGCACGTCCTACGCCGGTTTTCCTTTATAAATCACAATCGACTCGAAATGCGGTGCAGCTTTTGAGGGCTTCACGTAACGCCCATATTTGCCTAGAAATAGTCAAAGAAACGCCCATTCATTCATTCTGACTGACTTTATGAAGAAGATCGCAGGAAATGACGACAGAACAGCTAAAAAAGACATCTCACACCGTGTCAGATGTTGGTTATTTTGGGGAGGTGGAGATAAATCATATTGTTTGGTGGATGCAGTTTGAACCAGAGTAGCAGCATGGAGGTCGGATCGTCACCAAAATAAATAAATGGCCCGAAAAAGGTTAATTACAAAAACAATACACATAGCCTTCCTCAGGCAGTGTGTTTGTACCAGGGACAGGAGACCCCCCCTTGATGAGAAACTGTAAGAAATGATCGGGGAATCCCTCCGGAGTGGAGTCATGACGACTGGATCTGAATTATGTTTTTGTATTTGGTGGTTTGTGTTCCAGCTGCCGATCAGCTGTGCGCAGCGTCTCCACTGCAGCCTGTGCGTCTCAACCCCCCCCCCCCAGCAACCCTATATCCATCAGTTAAAGGAAATACAACTAATGTGTTGTGTTATATCAGCTGTACAATTTACCACATATGGTGTTCTTAGCTTCCATACCTCCTGTGTTTTACGAGCAACTTATCAAGTCTTGGCAAATGGCATAAAACATGATTAAACGTGATAGTATAAAACCATGCTCGTATCTACAACCTATAGAAATGCAAAACGACGTCAGTTTAGACGTAATTCTGTCCTCCTGCTTACCGCATCATTTGTGAGAAAACATTTCATAACATTAACACAACATATTGGAGGTGGTTTTCAATAACATTTCCGTATTTATTTATTTCTCCAAGTTATGTTTTTGTGAGCACTGAGGAGTCGCAAACAGGCCTTCGTTAAATCATTTTAAGATTGGCTTTAATCAATGTTTGAAAATGAATTCTTCATATCTGATAAATGAGAGGTAACATTTTATTTATGGTATTATTTCCACATATTTCTCTCCATTCTTCCTTCTGCCAACGGTGTCGCAGTTTCTCGTCTCTCCTGTTGTTGTGCTTAGTGCGTACGCATGGGTCAGAGTTTGCGTGGAGGACCGCACGTTTTCCCGTCAAGTTAGTATTTAAAAAATCGCAAACATTGCGTAGAAACTGGCGTACGCCATCTTGTGTGCGTATATCCCTTTATAAATGAGGCCCCAGAAATTATTTTCCACTTCAAATGCAGGGAAATGTCACCCATCAACTTTTAGCAGGACTGATGGACAACAATAACATTTGAACAGTGAGATGTTTGGATGTTACAGCCTTTTTAAAACACCTAATTCCATTTGAATGTTATATCATATGACCTTTATTGCTCACTGTTTCTTTGTTTAGAGTTAAAACACACACAGGACAATAGCAACACATTTTGTTATGTCTGGATACCAGATGTGCCTCATCTAAAAACTCATAGTTCAGGTTTGTACTAAATGAGCCATGTGTACAAAATAAAAAATGCACTTAAACTTAAAATAAACTGAATTTGACAAATACGATTTTCTCTTATATTTCATAATTGTCTGTTTCTATAAGCAATCTTTTTTTTAAATAGATTTTGTGTACCAGAGTAGCATTTTATTTTAGAGAGACAGTGTTGAGCCTGAATCAATAAGTCTTGCAATCAGCAAAGTCTTCTTGTTTATCATGATTAAGATTCATACACCCGTTTCACACAGGAAGAACATGTGCAACTAATAACTATTAACAATGTCTTTGCTGTTGTAATGCGGTGAATAATGTTATGAGTGACACCTGTGTGCAAGTCTAATGTTCTATATCACCCCCCCAGTTTGGGAACCCCTGACCTTAAATAAAGATACAGCCAGCGTGCAGTGGGACAAAGCCCCTACATGACACACTTCGTCTCAGATCAGGAACTTCATGTTAAATCTCCACTGCTGAGCCAAAGAGCTGTAGTGTGTCTGTTTGGAGTCAATAACTTACTCTCCTCCTGCAGGCGGGCCATGACCTGGACGTCGGTGAGGTCCTGCAGTTTGTATCCCAGAGAGATGGAGTCGTCGTCCACCTCTGAAGAGCCGAGGTCGCTGTCCATGGACGACTGCGGGCTGAGGGCGCAGCGCCGGAGGCTGCGGCCTTCTGACAGAAAGAGAAGCAGCGTTAGAAAACACGTCGACTCCTCGTGTCCCCTCTCGTTTCTGACTCGGTGTTAAATGAATGAATGAGAAAAGCCCTCGAGTGTTCTCTGCATAAAGATGAAGGGTCGGTGAGAGATTCAGAATGTATTAAGCACCGGTGAGGCAGAACTATGACCAGAGAGGTCACACCAACCTGTCCCCGCTTAATGATATCCCTGATATCATTAACCCTGCCCGTCACCTGTATTATTCCAATGACTTTTATCCCATTTTGCTTTTATGTGCTCATCAGGCCAAGATTTCGTCACCCGTTGTGAGGCTTCACATATTTCTCTAATGGTAGTTCAGTACTGAACTAGTCTCTACAGTAATAAAACAGTTAAAGCTCCGGATTATTCGGAAATTGTCTGAACAGCTTTTCTGGAATGACTTGCTGATTGTCTTTCAAATTGTGTTTGTAAATGAGCACCTACATTTTAAATGTATTCACCTCAATGGAATTGGGAAGGAGACAGAATAATTCGCATTTTCAGAAAATGTAACAAAAGTCTGTCTTCATTTTCTCACAGAGTCTCGAAGATGGAATTTGGACACAGGATTTTTGAGTTTTGTTTTTGTATCCCCGTTTGGACTAGCGCCGTCATGGAAATGAGCCTCGGGATAAAACGCACTGAATCCTCGTTCCCTGCAGCGACCCCCCCCCCCCCCCCCCCCGAGCCTGGAACATTATTTCTTTCCGTTACAAATAATGCACAAAAGGCTGTGGCCCGGATTTGATTTCTGCGAGTGAAGCTGCATATATTCCCTTACTCCCACGAATTGAAGTGATATGTAAAAAGCTTGTTGCTGAGCCAGTTCTACACTCGGTGTCTACACCTGCACCTCCTCTGAAGATCATATTCAGTTTGATGTTCTATACAGTCTGAGGCAGGGAAAGCAGGAAGTGTGAATATATAAAATATACAAGAAGCAGCACTGAGGCTTACTGCGCTGCGCGGGGAAGAACGTGGGAGTCCTCTCAGAAAAGGGGGAGAGATCCTTCCCTACAGGACTCATCGTCCGGTGGTGGAATGGGGAGGAGAGGGACGAAACTGGGGGGGGGGAGAGCAACAACTGTTACTTTAATACCAGGGATATTGGATTTGAAATGTTTTGAGTCCACGTTACCGTGTCTTTCCGATGACTGGAGGGTGGAGGAGGGTTTGGCACAAGGGGAGGAAGTGAGGGGGGACACTCCGGCCACTCGACTCAGAGGAAGGCCGGGGGAGGCGGTGGGAGAGGGGCTGGATAGGGAGCTACGCCACCTGGAGACTGGGGAGGGAGGAAGGAAGGAGGAGAAACAAGCAGAAGGGAGGATTTTAACAAAATGCACAATCGTTAGGCAAAAATCTGGATTTTATTTAAATTAGACGAGATGGTGATTTATTTATCCCCATAGGGATAGTCAGGTGTAATAGCAGCAACAGAATGAGTGAAACATAGGTAGTACACGTGAGAATAAACACAGGGATATTAAGAATACAAAGAAGAAGAATAAACATGTACAGTGCATCCGGAAACTAGTCATACTCCTTCACTTTTGACATTTTGTTATGTTACAGCCTTATTCCAAAATGGATTCAATTCATTTTTTCCCTCAACATTCTAAACACAATAACCCATAATGACAAAGTGAAACATGGTTTTTTAGATTTTTTTGATTTACATACAGTGGGGCAAAAAAGTATTTAGTCAGCCACCAATTGTGCAAGTTCTCCCACTTAAAAAGATGAGGCCTGTAATTTTCATCCTAGGCATTCCTGCACTAGTTCCAGTAACTGGTTTACATATGGAACTTTTTGCAGGCAATGTGCTGATTAAGGCTGCGAAGATCCAGAATGGGTCTGCACTCTGTCTTCTTGGGAACCAGGAAATACATGGAGTAAAGCCCCTTTCCTCTGTCCTGAACGCACCGCGGCACGCTCTCGGGGGGGCCGCGCGCCCCATCTTAATGCCGTCTTCACACAGACGGTGAAATGCATCAATCGGAGCTATTACACTAGGCGAGGTGTGTTTTCTGAACAACACGCCGGCCATAATGTCCCTGCACTCGCATAGCGCTTTGACAGCACTTCCTGCGGTTTATCACCTTTACTGGAGTTACAACTGGGGCGGCGAGTGGGGAATTGTGTTGCATAATGGGTGCCTAATTAACCTCGTATGAAACGGACATTATGGGGAAATGTGGAGAGAGATTACTCTTACTCTGGGATAAATGCAATCGCTTTGATTGAATGCATTTTTCACACACACCACTCTAGAACTAGGGTTACAATACGTAACCTGAATGGAGGAGGGACGCTGCAAAACTGGAGTGAGTAACCCAGCCTCAGTGTCCTGTCCATCCACAGCTGAGCTTCCATTCCCCATAAAACTGTGTTAGGGGACATGTAAGCAGCTGTGGAGTCGCAGCTAAGAAGCTGTAGTACTCTCTGGTGGCCACACACACACACACACACACACACACAACTGTGCAGCTGTTACCTCACCATCACTGTGACTGCCACTCACTGCTCTATTCAACACAAAGGGACAAAGCTAGATTCAACACAACAAAGCTACTCTCTCTCTCTCTCTCTCTCACACACACTGTAGCCTACCTGGTGCAGAGTGTCTCAGACTAACACACACACACACCTCAGTTACTATTCATAGATGGAGAGAAGAAACTTGGGTTTGCAGCTGTGATAGGAATATCTTGGGAATAAAGATTTATAAAAGAGATACAGGAAGAGGATTTCACTCTATTACCTGTCAGTGGGAATATAAACCACTTAAAAGCTATGAGATGGGGGGGTTCAGTGTGAGAAAAAGTTTTTAGAGAGTACTTGTCCATGGACAAGTGAGTTTGGCAATTTACTTGTCCGAATACATTTTTCACTTGTCCAGAATGGACAAACATTGGGGCCACTGGAATCTTCTTCTTTGTCATCGTATTTTACATTTTCCCACGGTTTTTACGACACCGTTAACGTAAGTGAGCCGTAAGATTGTACTGCATCACACATGGGGTTGGGTATCGTTTGGATTTTAACGATTCCGGTTCTGCTTTTCGATTCCGGTTATTTTCGGTTCTCGATTCCGGTTCTTTGAGAGGGTAAAAATAAGTCAAACTGGGAGAAAAATATATTTATGAAAACATTAAGTAAAATCTGTATTCCTATTTACAAATCACTTCATACTGTTTAATTTCTTACGGTTATTGAATACAATTATATAAAAATAATCTCTGCATTGTTTAGTTAGTTCCAGTGGCAGTTCTAGAACATTTTAAATGGGGGGGCAAAGGGGAGGCAAGAGGTCATGCCAGGATGGCATAGGAGGGCGGACAGTACGTGGTATGTTATACTCTATATAACCTATTTATTGTTAATTCATGCCCTAACACAAGTGTTCTTAATGCACAAGAGAAACAAGGTGTTCAGACAAACAATCGGGTGCCCTTTGAGTCCCCCAAGCTTACCTCAACCATTTTAAATGAAAGGAAATTACAAAATGTATTTTAAAGCAATGAATTAATGGAACAGGTTGTTTTGCATTACAATGTAAAATTAAATATATATTTTGTTTTTAAAAAAATTGGTTGTCTTAGACAAGCACTAAGCATTATTACATATTAATTTAATATTAAACAAATCAAAATGGCCAATTATCCCAAAATGTTGCTGCTAATATAATCACATGCTTGTCAACTTTAACTGATCAAAAATCAATTCTGAAAAAATACTTGAATTATCTATGAAATTGCAATATTGTCCCTCAGTTTGTTTCAACCCCGTCACGCCATACCATTTACCCTCCTATTAAAATAATGGATCAGTCCGTGATCTGCATTGAGGGAATTACATCACAAAAGTGTCAGTTTCTTCTCTTACCTATATTTCAGATTAAGATTGACAAGCTCAACATTTCAACTATGTTGTATGAATTAATAATAGTAAATAATTGTTTATTACAAAAATAAACAATAGTTTTGCAAAATATTACAATTTTGTAATGTCCTTGACTTCCATGTGGTGCCATATCTTAGCTAAACAAGGTCTCATGCCTACTTTTTGTCAAAAACTTCAACCCTGTTACATTTTTTCAAGGAAATTCCTAGTAATTATTTATATGTTGTGCCAGAGGTGGGAAAATGTAAGTAGTCCACTACCAGATGTTATGACCAAACATTTTGGTTTCATTTTTCAAAGATATAAAGACCCAAAAGGCACCCGATTCAGAGAATACCCAGAATTCTGCATACTGTAAGTACTTAATTATAATTAAGTACACAAATGACATCACCCATCTCTTCAGAGAGCTACAGGTGACCTGTGCAGCAACACATTTCAATCAATATTAGTCAATACTAAGAGCTGCTAGATTGTGCTGCTTTAATGGAATATGTAAGGAGAATAAGAACATACCATGTGGTCCAGCTGGAGTTTCATCTGCCTCCTGATCCCTGCCTCTGGCCCTCTTTCTGATACTTCATCTTTATTCCTCACATATATTTCTTCTTCTTCACTAATGTCTTCATCTCCTCCTCTTCCTCCTGCTCTGACCCTCCTGGTCTCTTCGTCTCTCTTTTCCTTTTCCTTTTTCTGTTCGTCCTGATCACTTCTCAGATATGTCTTTTTGTTGTTGTTGAATCACTCCAATACTCTGGCCTGCAAGAGTCTACTTGTGAAAAGCACTGGTACAAATGCTTGTATAACTTTACACGTTAGGGCCATGTAGCCTAGCTAATATGTAGCATATCATAAATATAACATCAGAAAGTATTGATCAAGCGCACACAGGCAGCTGTGTTTGGATCCAGTTTTTACGGTAAAGGATGAATCCTGGTTTCATTGATCTGGCCTCATGGCTGTGATGTGTAGTTTACGTGGATTTAATAGTAGGCTACCGCGTAGTTTAGCAAAGTGATCGATCTCCCAGCTAACGCTGTCTGCGTAGTATTTTGTAACGTAACGCCCCAAACAGCGCCCGTCTGTTAAACGCTATCGATTCAAACGGCAGCGTTTTATTAATATTTAGTTTCAAGCTCTCGTCCTTAGTAAAAACAAAACTAGTGGAAAGGGAAATGCTCCCAGGGGAAGCTGATCCATAGGTGCTGGGACAGCTCGCTCCCTCTCTGCAGCGGTGTGAGCCGCGGTCTGTGTGAACGCCGCTCCGCAGTTTAATGCAGGGCCGTAGCTGTGTTTTTAACGGGCCTAAAATGATATTTAAAATGATTCAATTTTAACTAATGTAATGCTTGTTTTGTTGCTTGAGAAGCTTGTGGAAATAGTGTAGGTTTGTTTTAGTACAGTTTTAGGGAAACAAAAGTTAGGGGGGCAGCTGGGGGGGCAAGGCTCTACAGTGGGGGGGCAGCTGCGTCAATCGTTATGTACTTATATTACGCTGTAACAGGATCTAGTGATATCCAAGCAACAGAGCTTCATTTAGCATGAAATAATTATTGCACTGTATATATATATATATATACACTTATAATAATAAGTAATATTAACTTTATTTAATACAACATTTACGGTACAAGATTTAATCATACAGCCCATGTAGTATGATAATGAATTATAGCAAACATGTGCAATATATCCATTATTACAGCTCTGTGAGACGATATGGGTCCGTTCTTATTGTGCATCCATGGGTAAAGATAAATGCAACTCACATTGGTTTCTCAAACAGCATCTCTGTAAACTACGTGTATTCACTGAATTTCACTCTCTGCCTTTAACGGCTCCTTGTAGCTCCAATAGCTCCAGCCCCCACCCTCCCTGTGAGCACAGTGTGCTCTGATTGGTCGGGACACGTAACATGAACGTGCCGGGCGGCGCGGTCCCGTGGGTTAGATGCGCGTTCATAATGCAGAGGGAAATAACTCTCAGAATAACGTTATTAGTACATTATTACAACTTGAGGAACGAATGTTTTTAATAAGGGCTATACAAGTGTTCATACTGGGTAGTTTATTTAGTTTTAAAAAAATTATCCAACGATTTACAGACCACTAAATCGTCTCCGGCGTCAGAAGTTGAACATTGTTCAACTTCTGACGCCGGAGACGGACCGCTATGCTACTTTCAGTTCGGCGAAAAAGCGAGGCAACGTGACGTCACCCCATTCAAAGTGAATGGGCAGATTGAAGCTGTAGTGTGGACGGGCCGTTAGGAATCGACAAGCAGAACCGAAACTAACACTTCTAAACGAACAATGGCGGACACGTACAATTTGCGAATGAGTTCTGCCTTTTGTAAACTGAATGTATCAATAATTTGTCAATAAATCAGGCCGAAAAACTCCACTTGTCCGCCGGACAAGTCAATTGAAAGATCTACTTGTCCGATATTGTAAATAACACGTCCCGGACGGTGGGACGTGTACTTTTTCGCACACTGGGGTTGCATTCCTTTCATACAAACTGTTTCCATGGCAATGGCTCTACATTTTCACTGGTGGGAGGCTTCCTGCTAACAGCGATGCATGTAGAGTGCTTGCTGCACCGCTCCTGATGTAACGTCTATTACTCTGACCCACATATTAAGGAGACCCCCACCCTAAAAACAAAACAAAGTGTGTGTTACATGCAGTGCCATTCATCAATCTAGATTGTTCTGCGATATGCTTAAAGTTTTCAGTCTCATATTACGATTTAAATATAATAGGGACATATTGTGGAACATTGAAGTAGATGGTATGTAAAGTATAAACAAATCTAAATTGATCCATCTATCTAAAATCTGTCTGAAAATGAGCTGATCAGATTTTGTGATGTCATAATGTTTTTTTGTCTTGTGTAACCATTAGTCAATAACCAACCAAGGTAACACCCCCCGCCCCCCTTATCACCTGAATCTCCTCCTAGAGCACCATTGTGTTTTCTTAACCAATCTCTCAAAGGGGCGTGGCCAGCACATGCTCATTAGCATTTAAAGCTACAGACACAGAATCAGCACTTTTAGAACAGGGCTGAAAAAGAGGGGATTATGGGATGCTGCAATGATCTGTTTGGTGCCCAACACTTCAGAGACATGTTCTGTATATATCTGAGACCTATAATATGTTGTTGGAAAAGAGTATAATAGGGGACCTTTAAGGCAGCAATGTCACTTTTTCCAAGAAGATGTCAAATGGTTGAAATTAAGTTTATTGTCCAGTGTTACTCCAAGGTATTTAAAGCTGTCAACTGTTTGGTTATTGATAATAATGGGGTGCTGTGGTGTGGGGGGGATCAATAATGATTTATTTTACTGACATTGAGGTGGACATGGTTGTCCTCAAACCATTTGGTGAAGTGCGTGATGTTGTTGTAGTAATCCAGGACCACAACATCATAAAGGATGTCTGATTCTCAAGAACTGGATTTTCCTGCACTCTTCAACCCCACGCAACACTTTTAAGATGTTAGCCAGACACTCATGATGGCTGGATCTTAACAGTAAGTCTATGAGCCACCATGACCTGACCATTGTAAAAAAGAGCAGTCCAGCAAAAACACATCGCTTTGAAAACACTGCAGATAAAGATTTTCAGTTTTGTCACACAGAAGTGCCCACACAGGTGAGTGGAGCTCAGTCTCTTCTCATTAAAGGCTTCAGGGCCAGACACACACAGTAACCATGACGGCTGGTATATTCTAAAGGAAGCTCAGCACCCACACATACAGGTCACATGACCCAGGCCTGATCTGCTTAATGCAGGCAGACTGATGAAAGTCTGTGAGGTGGACTGAACCACTGATGACAGCAGAGGGAAGAAGCTGCTCCAACTACAACCTGGGGAGCAGTGCTTTTACATCAAGTCACTTTTCATTACATTTCAAAGCTTGAACAGTTCATCAAGGAAATATAATTGATAGATATGGACCAAATTTCCCACCACAAACAAAAACACAATTTACAAACCAATGCATTCTGTTTTGCAATAAAACACATATCCATCAGACAAACACATGACATGTTTCTAATAAATCATGTCAGTGGAACATAGGGCATTTGTAAAACAGGTTTAGTTTATTTGTGGAGTTTTGGTAGCGAATTAGCTCCATGAGTTGACTCATTTGCAAAAGAAATGTGTAATGGCCCGTCCACACAGCGGCGTGCGTTGAAGCTCGCCGGCGGGCGTGTCTGAAACTCGACCAATAACCAATCACATGAATCTCCCGCCCCTGACACACAAGCAGCGGTTTGATTGGCTAGAGTTTGTACTGGCATACGATTCGATTGGCTGACGCTTCTGCCGAGGCTTCAAAAGTTGAACATTGCTCAACTTTTGCAGCGAGCCACGCCAGCAAAGCTCCGCGTCGCTTCCCACAATGCATTTTGGCGAAAAGTGACGTCACCCCATTCAAAGTGAATGGTGAAGCTTTCAACGCACGCCGCTGTGTGAACGGGCCGTTAGTATGGAGATGCACACAGTGAAATACTCAGCTATAGCTCATAACAGTTGTAGATCGGAAGGAAGCTTTACAGATGTCACTGTTCTTTGTCTCCGCTCGAGGCTACATTAGCCTCTTAGCATGAATCTGGCTAAACAGTCAGTGATCGAGTTGCATTGTAGGTAATGTAGAGGCTTCTTGTTTGGTGAGAGAAGAATGCTTGGAGAAAATAATGTTACCTTGGTTTTTATATTTTGCTGCTTAAAATTAAATATTTGTTGATACAAATCTTTCAATTTAAAAAGTGAATAATCCAGCAGGGCAAAGCTTTCTCATTAGTCATTTTCTGCATGTAAATAATTGCAAAAAGCCTCCCAAAGATTGACTTGAAACGTTTGATGAAATGAAGCCAAGCTCAACAGGGAGCAGTAAACCAACCAAAAAGAGAGTTAAATAAACAGTCTTTTGAGCATAGAAATATGTCCACCAATATATTTTAACAACCTTTATTCACTTCAAGTCTCATTCTATTTGATCACATTAATGGTAAACTCTAGAAAAGGACATCAAACTGTCAGACGGCCTCCTACACAAGTAGGCGGAGCATGTAGCTGTGAAGTCTAGACGAGAAACTATTTAACGGTTCTTCCCTGCCCAAGATTTATGTTGTGTCAGCGAGCGAATGTGTTTTTTGGCAAGACGCCTGAAAGCGGTGTACATCGGTTTAAAATAGCCTGGAGGACAGAAGCATCCTCAACTAATCTGCTGTCTGGGTGAGAAAAAGATCTTACGCAATCAGAAGGGAACACAAACGTAAAGAAAAAGAGAAATACAAATGTAGGGAAATAAAGGAACCAAAAGGGCCACATAATCAGGATAATGTGAGTCTAGGTGGTCAAAATCAGGACGTCTGAACAACAAATACGCCCATCATATCAACGAAAAGTGTCAAAACAAAAAAAAAGAACCGCCAATTGAGACTGAAGGATAAAAACACCCGTAAAACATCCACACGCGCAGAAACACAGCTATTTAGGTGCACTTAATACCATGAGGATGATGAAATCTGCAGTGCATCATGGTCATTTCAGGTCAATAGTGACATTAGCATGTGCACTTATCTTAGCATTAGGTCTTAGTTTGTGTGTGCAATTAAAACATGTTTAACTTGCTGGTGATTGCACATGTTTTACTGGTGTAAAATTAAACACCAGCCATCTTTTAAGTCTGCCATCTTAATCTTTTCACAGCAAAAATATAATAAAAAGATGTAGCTCAAAATGTATGTGTTAAAACCATAGACTGTATACAGTTGCAAGAAAAAGTATGTGAACCCTTTGGATTCTCCGCACATAGCGTTGTGTGTTCCTTCCAAACAACTCAACGTTGGTTTCATCTGTCCACAGAATATGTTGCCAGTAGTGCTGTGGAACATCCAGGTGCTCTTTTGCAAACTTCAAACGTGCAGCAATGTTTTTTCTGGACAGCAGTGGCTTCCTCCGTGGTGTCCTCCGTGGTGTCCTCCGTGGTGTCCTCCCATGAACTCCATTCTTGTTCAGTGTTTTATGTATCGTAGATTCGTCACCAGAGATTTCTCTAAGTCTCTAGCTGACACTCTAGAATTCTTCTTCACCTCATTGAGCATTCTGCGCTGTGCTCTTGCAGTCATCTTTACAGGACGGCCACTCCTAGGGAGAGTAGCAACAGTGCTGACCTTTCTCCATTCATAGACAATGTGTCTTACCGTGGACTGATGAACATCAAGGCTTTCAGAGATACTTTTGTAACCCTTTCCAGCTTTATGCAAGTCAACAATTCTTAATGGTAGGTCTTCTGAGAGCTCTTTTGTGCGAGGCATGGTTCACATCTGGCAATGCTTCTTAAGAATAGCAAATTCAAAACTGGTGTGTATTTTTTATAGGGCAGGGCAGCTTTAACCAACACCTCTAATCTCGTCTCATCGATTGGACTCCAGGTTGGCTGACTCCTGACTCCAAGTAGCTCTTGAAGAAGTCTTTAGCCTAGGGGTTCACATACTTGTTCCACCCTGCACTGTGAATGTTTACATGGTGTGTTCAATAAAAACATATCATTGTTTGTGTGGTATTAGTTTAAGCAGACTGTGTTTGTCTATTGTTGTGACTTAGATGAAGATCAGAACACATTTTATGACCAACTTATGCAGAAATCCAGGTCATTCCAAAGGGTTCACATACTTTTTCTTGCAACTGTATATATATATATATATATATATATATATATATATATATATATATATAAAAATATATATATATATATATAAAAAACGTTCTGCCAGCACAGCCATATGTTCAAACTAAATCAAAAAGGTTTTATATCACTCTCAGACAGAGAGCATCTGTTTTAAAACAATATGGCAACAGATTTATTTTTGCCTCTTTTTAGTACACACCCAACAACTCTTTTTCTCGCACACAGCCTCTTACCTTGTTCCAGTCTGAGGGACAGGGATCTCCGGGCGGCCTCCACCTCAGATCTTGGAGATTCCAGCGCCTTCCGGCACCACTGCAGAGCTGAGAGGGAGTTACCCGTGCACTCTCTGGATTTTGAGGACACATACAGCCTGGAAAGAGAGACAGAGGAAACACTAAATGCTAGTTAAACAGGACAATGTAGATTTCACTTTTACACTGACGTCTGGATGCTAACACAACAGTTCATTTTGAGCAGGTTTACCATGCTAATAGCACCAAGTCAAGCTAATGGGAATGTCATTAGTTCGCAGGGTGATTATTTTCGGCTAAAATGAATCACAAAGTAACAGGTGCCAATGAAGTGGTTGTACCATAGAGTAGACATGTTTTGGAGTGTTTGGATGTGACAGTTTCTGATTTGATCTTGACTTTGTGCCACCAGCTCATCTCCTCCTGAGACAGAAACACATTTCCTCCCGGGATAATGTGATGTTAAGCTTTTCAGATTGGAGAAAGTGCAGCTCAGATTATTCTGACAGCCCTGAACTCCCACTCCTCGATTCTGCTCTGAAGGCAACACGGGGGAGCTGAATGATAGATTCAAAAAGCTACACTGACATCAGGTGAGCCCACATATACTTTCCCTTAAAACAAGGAGGGCCTGCAGTGTGAGGACATTGAAGTAAAACATGAATGCAAATGAGCTACAGTGCAGAATCATTCAGATTATAATGTTCAGTGTCAAGTCTAAAAGAAACCCTCAACAAAAGCACACCATGATAACTTCAGACATGTGGGAATGTATTGCAGGACAGCTCATAATGGCGTTTAAATGATGTTCTGTTATGTGACTGATGTGCTATGTGACATGTATTTAGTAACGTGTCATTTGCATTTTGTTATTCCCTTTTATCCGTTCGCCTCCATCTACTCGTCTTTCATTATGGCTCCCTGTGGGTTTTTGTGCATGCGCTGGTCACTTCTCCCTCTGCAACATGTCATGAAGTTCATCTCTTTTTCAGTGGAATAGGACAACAAGTGACAGGGTATAGTACTTATACATGTCTTACTTGAAGCAAATGTAAGAAATAACAGTGACACTAGCTCATGGTAACTGATGTTTCAGAGCATGGCACAACCCCATTTAGGGTTTAAGGAATTCCTGTGTGGCACCAAAGAGAATGCACCAATGTAAAAGCATCCAGCCAATGGCACTGTGATGTGAATGTGAGGAAGAATGGCAGCTTGGTGCAGCCATGATGACAGACAGGCCTGATAACAAGTGGCCTGTGTGTGTGTGTGTGTGTGTGTGTGTGTGTGTGTGTGTGTGTGTGTGTGTGTGTGTGTGTGTATGTGTCTTTGTCTTGCAGGAGGCTGGATCCAGACACAATGAGAATCAGGTGCAATTAGCAGGAGAAGCCTCTAAATCACACATGCGGGACTTTGAACGCAACACATGGTTGGAGACAAGCAACATTTACCAGGTTTCGTCGGACTCGTCTGAGCAGCACAGAGAATCAAAATCCAAAAGTTCCAGCTCGTCCAGAACCGACGGCTCGGAACCGTCCTCCGCCGCTCCATCCCCGGAGTGGAAATAGTCGAAAGGCTCCTCCAGGGAGGACCCCAAGGACGACTCACGCAGCAGGGTGGGCACTGGGCTGGGGAGGCAGAACCCCCCGGTGCCTGCGAGCATTTTCCACGGGGAAGGAGGCAGCACATGCGAGCGCGAGCAGCTACTCGCGCGGGTCCGGAGCAGCTCGTTTTGCCACTCCAGCGTTCGGACGAGCTGCTGCAGTTTCTTCACCTCCAGCTCGGCGTCCACGGTGTTGCTGTTGCAGTCCACTTCCGGAATTATAGCGGAGTTCAGAACCACTGCCTCCATTGGACCAGAACACAATACCATAAACGGTTGAATGAGAGACGGGGGACAGGTAAGCTGCTGCGTCTCACCTCGCTCCTTAAGACTGGCTTCTGAATTCCGGTAGCGGGAGTAATGTGCACGGCACCCAATGGGAGAGTACTCCACCCCTCCATCACACACCCCAGCCTCCGCCTCCTCATCACTACACGCTGACTACAGGTACACACTGCACCTGTCGCACTATAAATCATGGTAATATCTCAAATAAAAACCGTTTAGGATTTTATTTTTACCATAATGTACCATTTAAAAAAAAACGAGCTCTTCTTCGTATTGTTTTTAGGAAATCGTTGTTTTAAGTAGGCATAACCAACCATTGCTACCTATTTGTCAGCCTCAATTCATGTAATTCCCTAATCAGATAAAGGTGTATTATATTGAGCAGAAACACGCCTGATCAACATGTGCATTTGGCGCCATCTTGTGGTTGAAACTGGTAATTACATGACATTGAACATCTCTTTATCTGCATAGCAGGGTTATTTATATAGCACCTTTCAACTCAAGGCAATTCAAAGTGCTTTACAAAAAAATTAAATAATAAGATCATTAAGAAATAGGCATTTAAAAACAAACATTGAAAAGCAAAGAGCATAACATAAAACAAGCTGATATCTATATAACATAGTCAGACATTACATGAATAAGAGTTACAGTGCAGTGTGAGATAAGAATAGTTCAATTAAAAGCATCAGCAAAAAGAAACGTCTTCAGCCTGGATTTAAAAGTATTGAGAGTTGCAGTGGACTTGCAGGATTCTGGGAGTTTGTTCCAGAAGTTCTGACTTGGGACAGAAAGCAGACCAGAAGACCTGAGAGTTCTGGATGTAGCAGGAGATCAGAATAAACCATTCAATGTTTTATAAACCAGCAGCAGTATTTTGAATTCTTTGACAGACAGGAGACCAGTGTGAAGACCTCAGAACTGGACTGATGTGATCCACTTTCTTAGTGTTAGTGAGGACTCGAGCAGCAGCGTTCTGAATTAGCTGCGGCTTTCTAATAGAGACCTGTGAAGACACCATTACAGTAGTCCAGTCTACTGAAGACATTACATTGCATTTAGCTGACGCTTTTATCCAAAGCGACGTACAATAAGTGCGTTCGACCAACAAAATACAAACTTGAAGAAAACAGAATCATATAAGTACATCAGGCTTCATAGAGCAAAAACATTTCAAGTGCTACTCAACTGGCTTTAGATAAGCCAGTCCTTTATTAGTATATAAGTGCTTTGTTAATAGTTCTATCGCTCGAAGTGGAGTCGAAAGAGATGAGTTTTCAGTCTGCGCCGGAAGGTGTGTAAGCTATCTGCAAATGGGGAGCTCATTCCACCATCTTGGAGCCAGGATAGCAAACCCACGTGTTTTTGCTGATGGGAACTTGGGTCCCCTTCGCAGCGAGGGTGCAGTGAGCCGTTTGGTTGATGCAGAGCGGAGTGCACGCGCTGGGGTGTACAGTTTAACCATGTCCTGGATGTAGGAAGGGCCAGATCCATTCGCAGCATGGTAAGCAAGTACCAGTGTCTTGAAGTGGATTCTAGCAGTTACCGGAAGCCAGTGAAGGCAGCGGAGGAGCGGAGTGGTGTGTGAAAATTTAGGAAGGTTGAAGACCAGACGAGCCGCTGCATTCTGGATGAGCTGCTGATGAGAGGTCGGATGGCACATGCAGGTAGACCAGCCAGGAGGGAGTTGCAGTAGTCTAGGCGTGAGATGACGAGAGCCTGGACCAGAACCTGTGTCACTTTCTGGGTCAGCTGGGGACGTATCTTCCTGATGTTGTAAAGCGTGTATCTGCAGCAACGGGTTGTAGCAGCGATGTTTGCAGTGAAGGACAGGTTGTTATCTAGGATCACACCCAGATTCCTTGCAGTCTGAGTCGGGGAAACAACAGAGGTGCCAATGTTGATTGTCAGGTCAAGAGTGGGACAATCTTTTCCCGGAAGGAAAAGCAGCTCAGTCTTGTCAAGGTTGAGCTTGAGGGTGATGCAGACATCCACTGAGAGATGTCAGCTAGACAAGCAGAGATGCGTGCGACGACCTGGGTCTCTGAGCGGGGAAAGGACAGAATTAATTGGGTGTCATCAGCGTAGCAGTGGTATGAAAAACCATGCGGGCTAATGACTGATCCGAGCGAGTTTGTGTACAAGGAGAAGAGGAGGGGACCAAGAACAGAGCCCTGAGGGACCCCTGTAGTTAATTGACAAGGGTCGGACTCAGACCCTCTCCAAGTTACCTTGTAGGTACGGTCTTTGAGGTATGAGGTGAGGAGGGAAAGTGCAGAGCCTGAAACTCCAAGTTCTTGGAGAGTGCGAAGGAGGATCTGATGGTTCACCGTGTCGAATGCAGCAGACGGGTCCAAAAGGATGATGACAGAGGAGAGGAAGGCTGCTTTAGCAGTGTGCAGTTCCTCAGTGACAGCATGGAGGGCAGTTTCTGTGGAGTGACCTGCCTTGAAACCAGACTGGTGCGGATCCAGAAGGTTATTCTGATGGAGATAACAGGAGAGTTGTTTAAAGACAGCGCGTTCAAGTGTTTTAGACAGGAACGGGAGTAGAGAGACAGGCCTGTAGTTTATAACATCAGACGGGTTGAGAGTGGGTTTCTTTAGGAGAGGGTTTACTCTTGCCTCCTTGAGACTGTTTGGAAAGTGACCAGAAGTTAGAGAAGTGTTGATGAAATGGGAGAGAAACGGTAGAATATCAGGAGCGATAGTCTGAAGGAGGTTTGAAGGGATAGGGTCCAGAGGACAGGTGGTAGGGCGGGCAGAGGTAATGAGGGTAAGAACCTCACTTGGAGAGAGAGGGGAAAAGGAGGTAAGTGTGTTGGTGGAAGGAAGGTCTGGTGACCCAGCGGTGAGTAAAGGTGAGTCAGAAAAAGAAGAGCGAATATCATCAACCTTTTTTTCAAAGTGGGTAACAAAGTCGCTTGACATAAGGGAGGAGGGGGAAGGGGCTTTGGGGGGGTCCAGGAGGGAGGAGAAGATGGAAAATAGTTTTGTAGGATTGGAATAGGAAGATTGGATCTTATCTTGAAAGAAAGTGCTTTTTGCCTGAGAGATCGAAGCAGAGAAAGAGGAGAGGAGAGCCTGATAGGTTAGGAGGTCGTCACGGTGTTTGGATTTCCACCGTTTCCGCTCTGCTGCCCGAAGGACGGTTCTATTAGCACGCAGTGCGTCATTGAAGACATGAGCATGGACAAGTTTTTCCAAATCCTGCTGTGACATTAGTCTTTTAATTCTAGATATGTTCTTTAGGTGATAGTAGGCTGATTTAGTAACTGTTTTAATGTGACTGTTGAAACTCAGGTCAGAGTCCATGACTAGATTTCTGGCTCTTCCTGTTGTTTTGAACATTGCAGACTGAAGCTCAGCGCTAACTTTTATTCATTCTGCCTCCGAAGAAAATTACTTTAGTTATCCAGTTATCTTTATTTATTTGGAGAAAGTTCTGACCCATCCAGTCATTGATTTGTTCAATGCAGTGTTTGAATTGGAGCATAGTCTCCTTGTGAAATGGTTATGTAAATGTGTGTCGTCTGGTATAGCTATCGTAAACTCAACTTTAAATATGACTTTTTTCCAGCTTTTTTAAATTGGGAAAAGATTATTTAAAAAAAAAAACTGGAAAAAAGAATAAAGACACATTTGAAAACATGTGTTTGTATAATACATATACATACATCATATATAATTATCTATGTAAGTAATTCAGTTGTTAAATAAATAAAGCAAAAGTCGAGACAACTTGAAAGGGTATGGCGTTCCACTAAACTTGAAGAATCTCGTTTAATTTGGCATATTACACTCAATGAATGAAAGCACTGCGTAAAGTGAGAGCAGCCTACTACTCTTCATTAATAGATGAGAATAAGAATAATGCAAGATTTCTTTTCAGCACTGTAGCCAGGCTGACAGAGAGCCACAGCTCGATTGAGCCTTCTATTCCCATAGCACTCAGTAGCAATGATTTTATGTGCTTTTTTAACGATAAAATTCTCTTAGAAACAAAATTAATGACCTCTTGCCTTTGACCAGTATAGTGTTATCAACAGCTCCCGGAAACGTAAGTTCTAATATTACACTAGATAGTCAACTAGAATGCTTTTCAGCCATAAACCTTGAACAATTAAATTAAATGATTCTCTCTTCTAAACCATCAACGTGTATCTTAGACCCAATTCCAACTAAGCTGTTGAAGGAAGTTTTTCCATTAATTAGCACTTATTTATTAAATATTATGAATATGTCTTTATTATCAGGCTATGTTCCACAATCATTCAAAGTAGCAGTGATAAAACCGCTTCTTAAAAAGCACAACCTCGATCCAGAGGTTTTAGCCAATTATAGACCTATTTCTAATCTTCCGTTCCTCTCAAAAATTCTTGAGAAAGCGGTCGCAAAACAGTTGTGTGATTACTTAAAAAACAATGATTTATTTGAAGCTTTTCAGTCTGGCTTTAGAACACATCATAGCACAGAGACAGCTCTGGTTAAAGTCACAAATGACATTCTAATAGCCTCTGACAAGGGACGTGTCTCTATTCTTGTTTTGCTCGATCTCAGTGCTGCATTTGATACTATCGACCATGATATCTTATTGCAAAGACTAGAGCACTTAGTTGGCATACAGGGAACTGCTTTGGACTGGTTTAGGTCCTATCTGTCTGAACGCTCTCAGTTTGTACGTGTCAATGATGAATCTTCCACGCAAACCAAAGTTAGCCATGGAGTGCCACAGGGCTCAGTGCTCGGACCTATTTTGTTCACATTATATATGCTTCCGTTAGGCAATATTATAAGGAATCATTCTGTACATTTTCATTGTTATGCGGATGATACTCAACTATATTTATCAATCAGGCCTGATGAAATTAATCATCTAAATAAAATTCAAGACTGCCTTAAGGACTTAAAAACGTGGATGACCTTAAACTTTTTGATGTTAAACACGACCAAAACTGAAGTTATTGTACTTGGCCCGAAGTGGATGGCATTAATTTGGCCTCCAGTGAGACTAAGGAATCTTGGTGTTATATTTGATCAGGATTTATCCTTTAACACCCACATAAAATCAATTTCAAGGACCCCCTACTTCCATCTACGTAACATTGCAAAAATCAGGCATATCTTGCCTCAAAACGATGCAGAGAAACTAGTCCATGCATTTGTTACTTCAAGGCTGGATTATTATAACTCTTTATTATCAGGGTGTACCAAGAAGTCAGTCAAGTCGCTTCAGCTGATTCAAAATGCTGCAGCTCGTGTACTAACCAGAGTTAGGAAAAGGGACCACATTACTCCTGTTCTGGCTGCCTTACACTGGCTCCCTATAGAACACAGGATATCATTTAAAATTCTTCTTCTCGCCTACAAAGCCCTTAATGGGCAGGCGCCATCTTACCTCAAATAACTCATTATACCCTACTGTCCTACTAGGGCATTGCGTTCCAAGAATGCAGGGTTGTTGGTTGTTCCTAGAGTCTCTAAAAGTACAATGGGAGCCAGAGCCTTTTCTTATCAAGCTCCACATTTGTGGAATCAGCTTCCAGTTTGTGTTCGGGCGGCAGACACCCTATCCGTTTTTAAGAGTGCGCTTAAGACCTTCCTTTTTGATAAAGCTTATAGTTAGGGCTGATTAGATTCAGCCCCTAGTTTTGCTGATATAGGCTTAGTTTGTCGGGGGACATCTTACTTCTTCCTTCTCTCTGTCTATACCTGTGTACTCTCATGTTCCGATTAACCCAGCTTCCCCAAATATCTTTCTTTTTGGTGTCTATATACGCCGGGATCCGGAGTCATGGATGATCCTGCGCTCCTCTGTCCTGGATCGCGAGCCCTGGATCTTGAGTCGTGGCTGTGGTCCTGGATCATAGGTCCTGGATGGATATCCTCGTGGATTCATCTTCCTATTATACACACATTACATTACATTACATTACATTACATTGCATTTAGCTGACGCTTTTGTCCAAAGCGACTTACAATAAGTACATTCGACCAGGAAGACACAACCTTGAAGAAAACAGAATCATATAAGTATATCAGGTTTCATAGAGCCAAACATTTCAAGTGCTACTCAACTGGCTTTAGGTAATCCAGTCCTTTATTGGTATAAAAGTGCTTCGTTAATCGTTCTAACGCTCGAAGTGGAGTCGAAAGAGATGAGTTTTCAGTTTGCGCCGGAAGATGTGCAAGCTATCTGCCGTCCTGATGTCAATGGGGAGCTCATTCCACCATCTTGGAGCCAGGATAGCAAACCCACGTGTTTTCGCCGATGGGAACTTGGGTCCCCCTCGCAGCGAGGGCGCAACGAGTCGTTTGGCTGATGCAGAGCGGAGTGCACGCGCTGGGGTGTACGGTTTAACCATGTCCTGGATGTAGGAAGGGCCAGATCCATTCGCAGCACGGTAAGCAAGTACCAGTGTCTTGAAGTGGATTCTAGCAGTTACCGGAAGCCAGTGAAGGGAGCGGAGGAGCGGAGTGGTGTGGGAGAATTTAGGAAGGTTGAAAACCAGACGAGCCGCTGCATTCTGGATGAGCTGCAGAGGTCGGATGGCACATGCAGGTAGACCAGCCAGGAGGGAGTTGCAGTAGTCTAGGCGTGAGATGACGAGAGCCTGGACCAGAACCTGAGTCGCTTTCTGAGTCAGCTGGGGACGTATCTTCCTGATGTTGTAAAGCGTGTATCTGCAGCAGCGGGTTGTAGCAGCGATGTTTGCAGTGAAGGACAGGTTGTTATCTAGGGTCACACCCAGATTCCTTGCAGTCTGAGTCGGGGAAACAACTGAGGTGCCGATGTTGATTGTCAGGTCAAGAGTTGGACAATCTTTTCCCGGGAGGAAGAGCAGCTCAGTCTTGTCAAGGTTGAGCTTGAGGTGGTGAGCAGACATCCACTGAGAGATGTCAGCTAGACAAGCAGAGATGCGTGCGACGACCTGGGTCTCTGAGCGGGGAAAGGACAGAATTAATTGGGTGTCGTCAGCGTAGCAGTGGTAAGAAAAACCATGCGGGCTAATGACTGATCCGAGCGAGTTTGTGTACAAGGAGAAGAGGAGGGGACCAAGAACAGAGCACTGAGGGACCCCCGTAGTTAATTGACAAGGGTCGGACTCAGACCCTCTCCAAGTCACCCTGTAGGTACGGTCTTTCAGGTATGAGGTGAGGAGGGAAAGTGCAGAGCCAGAAACTCCAAGTTTTTGGAGAGTGCGAAGGAGGATCTGATGATTCACCGTGTCGAATGCAGGTCCAACAGGATGATGACAGAGGAGAGGGATGCAGTTTCCAAAACATTTGGACTACCTATGTTGCAAACGTATTATCTTTTCAATTTACACACGGCATCTATTGCACGTCTGTCCGTCCTGGGAGAGGGATCCCTCCTCTGTTGCTCTCCCTGAGGTTTTCTCCCATTTTTTCCTTTAAACTGTGGGTTTTCTCCGGAAGTTTTTCCTTGTACGATGTGAGGGTCTAAGGACAGAGGGTGTCGTATTGTCATACTGATATTCTGTACAAACTGTGAAGTCCACTGAGACAAATGTAACATTTGTGATATTGGGCTATATAAATAAACATTGATTAATTGAAATGAAAATGAGTGAAGTAAAAAGTTTGATATTTCCCTGAGATACAGTTTAGTAGAAGTATAAAGTAAATCAATTAAGTTATTTCTACAACCAAATAAATCCATTTGAAAATATTGTCATGTAAACGTGAGTTTGTCGTTAATAACACGGGATATGTTGCTTCATCATGTTCGTAATAACAAGCACACATTCCTCACATACATAAGACCAAATGGGCATGTGGAATTGTTTAGAAAGCATCTTAAAATGGTTCAACATGCTAATAATTTCAAGCAAAAATAAGAATATAACATGTGTATCTTATGAAAAACCTTATTTATCATTGAATGTATTGATAAACATCTCCATCTTTCTCATATATTCCTGGAGTGTATGACAAAGAGCAGAAACACGCCTGCTCAACATGTGCATTTGCCGCCATCTTGTGGCTGAAACCGGTCATTACACGAAGTGAAAAACATGCAGGTTTAGTTTGGTTAGAAATGTAATAATGCTACCATCAGTTGTTAAAAAAAACCTAGAGGATGATTTTAATTATACAATTCATAATTAAAATAATTTATCAAGCTCAAATTCCCAACATCTGCACATTAGTACAATGTGTAGAAAACACAAGGATTAGACAAATAAGCAGTCTTGTGAACACAAATCATATTTATTGTTTGATTTATTGATAAACAGCACCATCTTTTTCATGTATTCCTTGACAAACACTGCCACCTGGTGTCTGAAGAGGCTCACTGCAGCTGGATGAGTCAAAGCTGCACATTGAAACACAGCCCCCTGAGGGACATTCAGCAGTCTTTGTAAGAGCACAAATGAACGTCTGAAGTGATACAGCCTCTGGGAAGCAGACGAGGAGTTTATCTCTGGAAACAGTAACACCAGAATCAAGTCTGAATGTTGTATATCAGAGTTCAGGGAAGGGGAGTCTCCTGCTCAGCGTTTCTTCCAGGTGAATTTCCTTCGCGCTCCCTCCTGGCCGGGCTTCTTCCTCTCCTTTACTCTGGGGTCCGGTGTCAGCAGACCAGCTAGAAATGAAAAAGAAAACAAATGAAACAGGATGGGGAAAAGGAGGGAATAATAAGACAAGATTGTCAATATGCTCCACTGTCACAATAACTCTATAAAACAAATCACCTCTGGCTGGAAGACAACTAACTTCTCCATGGTGTCTCCTTGGTTACCTGGACTTATAACATTAACACTTGATGTAAATAATATCCTGCTTATATTGTGTTAACAGAAAATTGGCCCTTTAATAATGTCTTTATTTCAGTTTATAGATTTTTTTCTTTTATCTTCACGATCATCTGTAGGTTTTTCTTACTCTCTACTGCTGCTTTATTTCTATTTTTAGATATTTCTATTTTAGAATTGTTTATTTCTACTCTTTTAATTTGTTATTATGTGCAAAGTCTTGTTTTAATGCGGCTGCAACAAAACAAAACCCAAATTGGGATAAATAAAGTACTTATCTTATATATATATATCTTTATCTGAGTAGCTTTTGGAACAATTGGTTTTGATATGTGTGTTTCAATGTTCTGTTGAGCTGCATCTCAGGTGAACTTCAAGGAGTCCAAAAACAGGGACAGGAAACCAATTAGAGTACATTTCAACCACCACTTGACCTACATCGTTTCTGATCCAGGATCTAGTTTAAACATCACCTTTTTACACAAGTATTCACGTGCGTTATTAAAGGTATTTGTGTCAAATTTGATCGGAAAGTCAGTCGAGGTCAAAAACAATCTCTAAAAACACAAGATGGGGAAATAAGAAGAAAATGAGCATAAAGGTTTCAAACTAATCCTGAGAGGGGATTTGAACCAGCGCTTTCCGACCCACCTTGCCTCATGGTCTCCACCTGGCCCTCGGACAGGAAGCCGAGCAGGGCGCGGGACACGGCGAGCCGCAGCGCCCCCGCCTGGCTGGAGCGCCCCCCCCCACTCACAGAGCACTCCAGGTCGAAGCGTCCCAACACGTCCAGGAACTGAAGCGGGAACATCAGCTGCTCTCTACAAATAAAAGAGAGGGAAGGAGGACAACATGACCAGGAGATAATAAAGAAGAGGTGAAAGAATGGGGGGGGGGGGGGGGAGTGTGTGTGTTGAACAGATAGCGGTGTCGGCGGTGCAGGCTTAGCTAATTTAATGTCTGCTTGGATGACTTCTCGACAAGCATAGAGGAAAAGCTTACAATCTCACCTCCACATATTACAGACTTCTGACTCAGCAGGAAAAGGAATGGTGTGTGTGTGTGTGTGTGTGTGTGTGTGTGTGTGTGTGTGTGTGTGTGTGTGTGTGTGTGTGTGTGTGTGTGTGTGTGTGTGTGTAAAGAAAGTGAGTTCTGGATGGCGTCTCTGGCTGAATGGCCCGTGGGTGCTGACAAAGTCAATTGTCACCTCTCTGCTCCGATTACTAGCCCCCTCCTCACCACCGAATCTGGACATTCTCACACACACACACACACACACACACACACACACACACACAAACACACACACACACACACCAGCCTCACACACACTCACTCAACTGTGTAATTAACTCACTACGAGGCGACGCTGCGGAGAGTGAAAAAGCTGCTTTTGAAATGTATTTTAGGGGAGGTCCGAACGTAAAACAGTTTTTAAAAAAAGGTATAAGGACATGATTTTAACAAGATACAGGGATGACATTGTTTAATCATAACTTGGTGTTATTTTATCTTTTCGTACGTGTTGGTCAATAGTAATTTTGTTTATGAATTTGATACTGCTTAAGTTTGTACAGTATCATAATTCTCTTGTGTCATTTCAGGAGGCGTGTGGTGCAGTGGGTTGTGTGTTGGGATCAGGGGGTCACAGGTTCAAACCCCTCTGCAGTCAGCATGTGGTTGTGTCCCTGAGACCCTCACCCCAAAGTGCTCCTGTGGGGATTGTCCACAGTACTGAGTATGGAAGTCTCTTTGGATAAAAGCGTCTAACGAGTGACATGTAAGTAGTGATATATTATTTGTTGTATTATGGTTTTACACGTTCGAAGTGTAAAGAAACCAAATGAAAGATGTTTGAAGGGGAGAAAGTAGATCACGTCTTTAAGGACACAGGAAGTAAGTCAAACGTGTTTCCTCGCAGCTCTCGTACCTGTCCTGCTGAACGGGGAAATAATGAACGTAATCTCGCCCGTTGATCACGATGCGTCCGGAGCCGCTGTCTCGAAGAACCACAGAAGAAGTCGACGTCTTCCTCCGCCCTGAAGAGGCAAAGCACACCTTTACCTGACGTTTCTCATCATATATTATGATACCAAAGAGTGGGAACTGATTGGAAGTGTGTGAGTCTGACATTTATGGAGGTGTTTTACACAAAAGCCTTAGTTTAGGAACCAGGAGGTACTTTAGTGATCCCACATTGGGACGTGTTTGCGTTGCAGCAGCTTCAAACACAACAAAGGCACAGAAGCAGAAACACAAGAATGTGAACATCTCAAAATAGAATGAAAGCAGCATTAAAGTAGAACATGTACAGCAGACTGTGAAGATACTAACTCATCTATACACTTGACAATGAAGCACTCTTGAAAGGCTTCCCTATAATCAGCAGACTCATTCAGTCTTGAGTTTCTCCTCTCATTGGTTTCACTTTAGTTTTTGACATTATTTCCTGATCTGGAACATCTCTCCAGAATATAGAAACCGGTGAAACAGGGAAGGAACAGGGAACAGGGAAGGAACAGGGAACAGGGAAGGAACAGGGAACAGGAAACAGGGAAGGAACAGGGAACAGGGAAGGAACATGCGCACCTTCTTCTATATCCCAAACACTCCCAGAAAGCAGATAGTTGTAAAACCAGCAGAAAACCAGACGTTGATTGGAAGAACATAAAGAAAAAGGAGAACCTATTTGAACAATCAATCCAGATGATTTAGAGTTGGTTTTGATCTCTTTGAGTTATTTTAAAGGTGGACGCGTCACATTACGTACATCCATTTCCCATCAGTTAGTAAGAATGGCACGGTTACACCAAATGTCAAAATCTAATTTAGCAACGTTTTGTGCGTTCCTACCTTCCGAGGTGCTATAGGCCACGCCCCTCTCGTCTCGCTCAATCATGGGCACCGTTTGTTTGCTGGACTGGGCGTCGAGCTCCCTCCGGTAGCTCAGGACGAAGCTCTTCTCTGTGCCGCAGTACGGCAGGGACAGCAGGCGCTCCATCAGCTGGAGGAAGCGGTCGTACTGAAGGAAACCACGTGACACGTTTTAGACTAAGGGAAATAATCCTTACATAGATGTGAGAGACGAGGAGGACGACAGGAAATAAAGAGAGTTCTTACATCCTCAGTGCGCATGCCCTCTCCTAGCAATATATCCAGTTCATCCTTGGTGAGCCACCTGCTTGTGCCGAGTCCACTGATGGAGGAGAACACGGGTCAAACACACAAGAAAAGAGACATGGAGAAGAGGGGACACATGTTGATGAAGAAGAGACATGGAGAAGAGGGGACACATGTTGATGTAGAAGAGACATGAAGAAGAGGGGACACATGTTGATGTAGAAGAGACATGGAGAAGAGGGGACACATGTTGATGTAGAAGAGACATGGAGAAGAGGGGACACATGTTGATGTAGAAGAGACATGGAGAAGAGGGGACACATGTTGATGTAGAAGAGACATGAAGACGAGGGGACACATGTTGATGTAGAAGAGACATGGAAGAAGAGGGGACACATGTTGATGTAGAAGAGACATGAAGAAGAGGGGACACATGTTGATGTAGAAGAGACATGAAGAAGAGGGGGACACACTGTTGATGTAGAAGAGACATGAAGAAGAGGGGGACACATGTTGATGTAGAAGAGACATGAAGAAGAGGGGACACATTTGATGTAGAGGAACCTGAAGAGAGGGTACACATGTTGATGTAGAGACATGAGAGAGGGGACACATGTTGATGTAGAAGAGACCGTGAAGAAGAGGGGACACATGTTGATGTAGAAGAGACATGAAGAAGAGGGGACACATGTTGATGTAGAGGAGACATGGAGAAGAGGGGACACATGTTGATGTAGAAGAGACATGAAGAAGAGGGGACACATGTTGATGTAGAAGAGACGTGAAGAAGAGGGGACACATGTTGATGTAGAAGAGACATGAAGAAGAGGGGACACATGTTGATGTAGAGGAGACATGAAGAAGAGGGGACACATGTTGATGTAGAAGAGACATGAAGAAGAGGGGACACATGTTGATGTAGAAGAGACGTGAAGAAGAGGGGACACATGTTGATGTAGAGGAGACATGAAGAAGAGGGGACACATGTTGATGTAGAAGAGACATGAAGAAGAGGGGACACATGTTGATGTAGAAGAGACATGAAGAGGAGGGGACACATGATGATGTAGAAGAGACATGAAGAAGAGGGGACACATGTTGATGTAGAGGAGACATGAAGAAGAGGGGACACATGTTGATGTAGAAGAGACATGAAGAAGAGGGGACACATGTTGATGTAGAAGAGACATGAAGGAGAGGGGACACATGGTGATGTAGAAGAGACATGAAGAAGAGGGGACACATGTTGATGTAGAAGAGACATGGAGAAGAGGGGACACATGTTTGATGTAGAAGAGACATGGAGAAGAGGGGACACATGTTGATGTAGAAGAGACATGGAGAAGAGGGGACACATGTTTGATGTAGAAGAGACATGGAGAAGAGGGGACACATGTTGATAGTAGAAGAGACATGAAGAAGAGGGGACACATGTTGATGTAGAAGAGACATGAAGAAGAGGGGACCACATGTTGATGTAGAAGAGACATGAAGAAGAGGGGACACATGTTGATGTAGAAGAGACATGAAGAAGAGGGGACACATGTTGATGAAGAAGAGACATGAAGAAGAGGGGACCCCATGTTGATGTAGAAGAGACATGGAGAAGAGGGGACACATGTTGATGTAGAAGAGACATGAAGAAGAGGGGGACACATGTTGATGTAGAAGAGGACATGAAGAAGAAGGGGACACATGTTGATGTAGAAGAGACATGAAGAAGAGGGGACACATGTTGATGTAGAAGAGACATGAAGAAGAGGGGACACCTGTTGATGGGAGAAAGAGACATGAAGAAAGAGGGGACACATGTTGATGTAGAAGCGACATGGAGAAGAGGTGGACACATGTTGATGTAGAAGAGACACGAAGAAGAGGGGACACATGTTGATGTAGAAGAGACAATGGAGAAGAGGGGACACTGTTGATGTAGAAGAGACATGAAGGAGAGGGGACACATGTTGATGTAGAAGAGACATGAGGAGAGGGGGACACATGGTTGATGTAGGAGAGAATGAAGAAGAGGGGACACATGTTGATGTGGAGAGACATGAAGGAGAGGGGACACATGTTTGATGTAGGAGAGACATGAAGGAGAGGGGACACATGTTGATGTAGAAGAGACATGAAGGAGAGGGGACACATGTTGATGTAGAGGAGACATGAAGAAGAGGGGACACATGTTGATGTAGAAGAGACATGAAGAAGAGGGGACACATGTTGATGTAGAGGACACATGTTGATGTAGAGGACACATGTTGATGTAGAAGAGACATGAAGAAGAGGGGACACATGTTGATGTAGAAGAGACATGGAGAAGAGGGGACACATGTTGATGTAGAAGAGACACGAAGAAGAGGGGACACATGTTGATGTAGAAGAGACATGGAGAAGAGGGGACACATGATGATGTAGAAGAGACATGAAGGAGAGGGACACATGTTGATGTAGAAGAGACATGAAGAAGAGGGGACACGTGTTGATGTAGAAGGACATGAAGAAGAGGGACACATGTTGATGTAGAGGAGACATGAATGAAGAAGAGGGGACACATGTTGATGTAGAAGAGACATGGAGAAGAGGGAACATGTTGATGTAGAGGAGACATGAGAAGAGGGGAACATGTTGATTTAGAAGAGCATGGAGAAGGGGACATATGTTGATGTAGAAAGAGACATGAAGAAGAGGGGACACATGTTTGATGTAGAAAGAGAGAGACATGAAGAAGAGGGGACACATGTTGATGAGAAGAGACATGGAGAAGAGGGGACACATGTTGATGTAGAAGAGACATGAAGAAGAGGGACACATGTTGATGTAGAAGAGACATGGAGAAAGAGGGACATGTTGATGTAGAAGAGACATGAAGAAGAGGGGACACATGTTGATGTAGAAGAGACATGAAGAAGAGGGGACACATGTTTGATGTAGAAGACACATGGAGAAGAGGGGACACATGTTGATGTAGAAGAGACATGAAGAAGAGGGGACACATGTTTGATGTAGAAGAGACATGGAGAAGAGGGGACACATGTTGATGTAGAGGAGACATGAAGAAGAGGGGACACATGTTGATGTAGAAGAGACATGAAGAAGAGGGGACACATGTTGATGTAGAAGAGACATGGAGAAGAGGGGACACATGTTTGATGTAGAAGAGACATGAAGAAGAGGGGACACATGTTGATGTAGAAGAGACATGAAGAAGAGGGGACACATGTTGATGTAGAAGAGACATGGAGAAGAGGGGACACATGTTGATGTAGAAGAGACATGAAGAAGAGGGGACACATGTTGATGTAGAAGAGACATGAAGAAGAGGGGACACATGTTTGATGTAGAAGAGACATGGAGAAGAGGGGACACATGTTGATGTAGAAGAGACATGAAGAAGAGGGGACACATGTTGATGTAGAAGAGACATGGAGAAGAGGGGACACATGTTTGATGTAGAAGAGACATGAAGAAGAAGAGGGGACACATGTTGATGTAGAAGAGACATGGAGAAGAGGGGACACATGTTGATGTAGAAGAGACATATGAAGAAGAGGGGACACATGTTGATGTAGAAGAGACATGAGAAGAGGGGACACATGTTTGATGTAGAAGAGACATGAGAAGAGGGGACACATGTTGATGTAGAAGAGACATGGAGAAGAGGGGACACATTTGATGTAGAAGAGACATGAAGAAGAGGGGACACATGTTGATGTAGAAGAGACATGGAGAAGAGGGGACACATGTTGATGTAGAAGAGACATGAAGAAGAGGGGACACATGTTTGATGTAGAAGAGACATGAAGAAGAGGGGACACATGTTTGATGTAGAAGAGACATGGAGAAGAGGGGACACATGTTGATGTAGAAGAGACATGAAGAAGAGGGGACACAGTTTGATGTAGAAGAGACATGGAGAAGAGGGGACACATGTTGATGTAGAAGAGACATGAAGAAGAGGGGACACATGTTGATGTAGAAGAGACATGGAGAAGAGGGGACACATTTGAGTAGAAGAGACATGAAGAAGAGGGGACACATTTGATGTAGAAGAGACATGGAGAAGAGGGGACACATGTTTGATGTAGAGAGACATGAAGAAGAGGGGACACATGTTTGATGTAGAAGAGACATGAAGAAGAGGGGACACATGTTGATGTAGAAGAGACATGAAGAAGAGGGGACACATGTTGATGTAGAAGAGACATGGAGAAGAGGGGACACATGTTGATGTAGAAGAGACATGAAGAAGAGGGGACACATGTTTGATGTAGAAGAGACATGAAGAAGAGGGGACACATGTTTGATGTAGAAGAGACATGGAGAAGAGGGGACACATGTTGATTTAGAAGAGACATGAAGAAGAGGGGACACATGTTTGATGTAGAAGAGACATGGAGAAGAGGGGACACATGTTGATGTAGAAGAGACATGAAGAAGAGGGGACACATGTTGATGTAGAAGAGACATGAAGAAGAGGGGACACATGTTGATGTAGAAGAGACATGGAGAAGAGGGGACACATGTTGATTTAGAAGAGACATGAAGAAGAGGGGACACATGTTTGATGTAGAAGAGACATGGAGAAGAGGGGGACACATGTTGATGTAGAAGAGACATGAAGAAGAGGGGACACATGTTGATGTAGAAGAGACATGAAGAAGAGGGGACACATGTTTGATGTAGAAGAGACATGGAGAAGAGGGGACACATGTTGATTTAGAAGAGACATGAAGAAGAGGGGACACATGTTTGATGTAGAAGAGACATGGAGAAGAGGGGACACATGTTGATTTAGAGAGACATGAAGAAGAGGGGACACATGTTGATGTAGAAGAGACATGGAGAAGAGGGGACACATGTTGATTAGAAGAGAGCATGGAAGAAGAGGGGACACATGTTGATTGTAAGAAGAAGACATGAAAGAAGAGGGGACACATGTTGATGTAGAAGAGACATGAAGAAGAGGGGACACATGTTGATGTAGAAGAGACATGAAGAAGAGGGGGACACAGTTGATGTAGAAGAGACATGAAGAAGAGGGGACACATGTTTGATGTAGAAGAGACATGGAGAAGAGGGGACACATGTTGATGTAGAAGAGACATGAAGAAGAGGGGACCATGTTGATGTAGAAGAGCATGGAGAAGAGGGGACACATGTTGATGTAGAGAAGAGACATGGAGAAGAGAGAGGGGACCACATGTTGATGTAGAAGAGACATGAAGAGAGGGGACACATGTTGATGTCGGAAGAGACCTGAAGAAGAGGGGACACATGTTTGATGTAGGAGAGACATGAAGGAAGAGGGGACACATGTTGATGTAGGAAGAGACATGAGAGGAAGAGGGGACACATGTTGATGTAGAAGAGACATGAAGGAGAGGGGACACATGTTGATGTAGCAGGAGACATGAAGAAGAGGGGACACATGTTGATGTAGAAGAGACATGAGAAGAGGGGACACATGTGATGTAGAGGAGACATGAATTGAATGTAGAGGGACACATGTTGATGTAAGAAGAGACATGAAGAAGAGGGGACACATGTTGATGTAGAAGAGACATGGAGAAGAGGGGACACATGTTGATGTAAGAAGAGACGGACATGAAGAAGAGGGGACACATGTTGATGTAGAAGAGACATGGAAGAAGAGGGGACACATGATGATGTAGAAGAGACATGAGGAGAGGGGACACATGTTGATGTAGAAGAGACATGAAGAAGAGGGGACACATGTTGATGTAGAGAGACATGAAGAAGAGGGGAAACTGTTGATTGTAGAGGAGACATGAAGAGAGGGGACACATGTTGATGTAGAAGAGACCTGAAGAAGAGGGGACACATGTTGATGTAGAGGAGACATGAAGAAGAGGGGACACATGTTGATGTAGAAGAGACATGAGAAGAGGGGACACATGTTGATGTAGAAGAGACAGGAGAAGAATAGAAGAGGGGACCACATGTTGATGTAGACGAGACATGAAGAAGAGGGGACACATGTTGATGTAGAAGAGACATGAAGAAGAGGGGACGACAATGTTTGATGTAGAAGAGACATGAGAAGAGGGGACAAGCATGTTGATGTCGAATAGACATGAAGAAAGAGGGGACCACATGTTTGATGTAGAAGAGACTGAGAGAAGAGGGGACACATGTTGATGTAGAAGAGACATGAAGAAGAGGGGACACATGTTGATGTAGAAGAGACATGAAGAAGAGGGGACACAATGTTGATGTAGAGAGACATGGAGAAGAGGGGACCATGTTTGATGTAGAAGAGACATGAAGAAGAGGGGACACATGTTGATTAGAAGAGACATGAAGAAGAGGGGAACATGTGATGTAGAGAGAGACATGGAGAAGAGGGGAACACATGTTGATGTAGAAAGAGACATGAAGAAGAGGGGACACATGTTGATGTAGAAGAGACATGGAAGAAGAGGGGACACATGTTTGATGTAGAAGGACACATGTTTGATGTAGAGAGACATAGAAGAAGAGGGGACACATGTTTGATTTAGAAGAGACATGAAGAAGAGGGGACACATTTGATGTAGAAGAGACATGGAGAAGAGGGGACACATGTTGATGTAGAAGAGACATGAAGAAGAGGGGACACATGTTGATGTAGAAGAGACATGGAGAAGAGGGGACACATGTTGATTTAGAAGAGACATGAAGAAGAGGGGACACATGTTGATGTAGAAGAGACATGGAGAAGAGGGGACACATGTTGATGTAGAAGAGACATGAAGAAGAGGGGACACATGTTGATGTAGAAGAGACATGAGAAGAGGGGACACATGTTTGATGTAGAAGAGACATGGAGAAGAGGGGACACATGTTGATGTAGAAGAGACATGAAGAAGAGGGGACACATGTTGATGTAGAAGAGACATGGAGAAGAGGGGACACATGTTGATGTAGAAGAGACATGGAGAAGAGGGGACACATGTTTGATGTAGAAGAGACATGAAGAAGAGGGGACACATGTTGATGTAGAAGAGACATGGAGAAGAGGGGACAATGTTTGATGTAGAAGAGAACATGAAGAAGAGGGGACACATGTTGATGTAGAAGAGACATGAAGAAGAGGGGACACATGTTTGATGTAGAAGAGAACATGGAGAAGAGGGGACACATGTTGATGTAGAAGAGACATGGAGAAGAGGGGGACACATGTTTGATGTAGAAGAGACATGAAGAAGAGGGGACACATGTTGATGTAGAAGAGACATGGAGAAGAGGGGACACATGTTGATGTAGAAGAGACATGAGAAGAGGGGGACACATGTTTGATGTAGAAGAGACATGAAGAGAGGGGACACATGTTTGATGTAGAAGAGACATGGAGAAGAGGGGACACATGTTGATGTAGAAGAGACATGAAGAAGAGGGACACATGTTTGATGTAGAAGAGACATGGAGAAGAGGGGACACATGTTGATGTAGAAGAGACATGAAGAAGAGGGGACACATGTTGATGTAGAAGAGACATGAAGAAGAGGGGACACATGTTTGATGTAGAAGAGACATGGAGAAGAGGGGACACATGTTTGATGTAGAAGAGACATGAAGAAGAGGGGACACATGTTTGATGTAGAAGAGACATGAAGAAGAGGGGACACATGTTGATGTAGAAGAGACATGAAGAAGAGGGGACACATGTTTGATGTAGAAGAGACATGGAGAGAAGGGGACACATGTTGATGTAGAAGGACATGAAGAAGAGGGGACACATGTTTGATGTAGAAGAGACATGAAGAAGAGGGGACACATGTTTGATGTAGAAGAGACATGGAGAAGAGGGGACACATGTTGATTTAGAAGAGACATGAAGAACAGAGGGACACATGTTTGATGTAGAAGAGGACATGGAGAAGAGGGGACACATGTTGATGTAGAAGAGACATGAAGAAGAGGGGACACATGTTGATGTAGAAGAGGACATGAAGAAGAGGGGACACATGTTTGATGTAGAAGAGACAGGGAGAAGAGGGGACACATGTTGATTAGAAGAGACATGAAGAGAGGGGAAACATGTTGATGTAGAAGAGGACATGGAGAAGAGGGGACACATGTGATGTAGAAGAGACATGAAGAAGAGGGGACACATGTTTGATGTAGAAGAGACATGAAGAAGAGGGACACATGTCTTGATGTAGAAGAGACATGGAGAAGAGGAGGACACATGTTGAGTTAGGAAGAGACATGAAGACGAGGGGACACATGTTGATGTAGAAGGACATGGAGAAGAGGGGACACATGTTTGATTTAGAAGAGACATGAAGAAGAGGGCGACACATGTTGATGTTTAGAAGAGACGTGAAGAAGAGGAGAGACATGGAGAAGAGGATTTTGCATAATAGGTGACCTTTAAACTAAATAAAACATCCTGAAAGAACTGAATAGGATGATAGCCAGTAGACACAACAGCTCTGAGGAGTTCACTAAAATACCAAACTATTTTTATATTCTTAAAAAAAAAATGGAACTTACATGGGCTCGCCCTCATTGGAGAAGAGTCCTTTTTGTCTCAGTCGATCTTGGTGCTTCTCTACCATCCAGGATTTTTGCCGTATATGTCCTGTAACACACCATCACGATGACACATTTCACAACACATTGATACACGGAATATTACAGCATCTTGGTAGAAATCCTCTGTTCTTTCTGAAACTTGAGAAGTAACATACTCTTAGAGCAGGGGTGCCCAATACGTCGATCGCAAAGGTAGTGTGGGTAGATCGCATTGGCATAAAAAAAAAAGAAGATTTAAATACAAAAAAAAAAGTTAGCTCATCCTTACTATGGCATTTGCCACTTGATTGACGTACAGGTAAGCCAGTCTGAGATCTCACATTTTATAAGACGCAGTTCACCACGCATGCACGGTCAACTGCGCCAGCTGCAAATCACTGGCGAGCTGATTACCTAGTTAGCCTTCCAATTTATACAATTCTACTAAAGAAAGGGTATAAGGGGGCCCCACCTCCTCATCTGAAGAAGGCAAGGCAAGTTTATTTATATAGCACTTTTCAACACAAGGCAATTCAAAGTGCTTTACAAAAAATGAAAGACATTAAGAAAATGGCATTTAAAATCAGTCATTAAAAAGAAAAGCTAATAAAATAAACATTAAAAGAAAAATACATGGATAAAAGTTACAGTAATAAAAGTTACAGTGCAGTTTAAGATATGAATAGTTCAATTAAAAGCAGCGACAAAAAGAAAAGTCTTCAGCCTGGATTTAAAAGTAGTCAGAGTTGCAGCGGACCTGCAGGTTTCTGGGAGTTTGTTCCAGATATTTGGAGCATAATAACTGAACGCTGCTTTACCATGTTTAGTCTGACTCTGGGGACAGAAAGCTGACCAGTCCCTGAAGACCTGAGAGATCTGGATGGTTCATAATTTAGCAGGAGGTCAGAAATGTATTTTGGGCCTAAACCATTCAGTGCTTTATAAACCAGCAGCAGTATTTTGAAATCTATTCTTTGACACACAGGAAGCCAGTGTAAAGACTTCAGAACATGAGTGAGTGATCCACTTTCTTAGTGTCAGTGAGGACTCGAGCAGCGGCGTTCTGAATTAGCTGCAGCTTTCTAATAGATTTTTTAGTGAGACCTGTGAAGACACCATTGCAGTAGTCGAGTCTACTGAAGATAAAAGCATGGACAGTTTTTCCAAATCCTGCTGTGACATTAGTCTTTTAATCCTAGATATATTCTTTAGGTGATAGTAGGCTGATTTAGTAACAGTTTTAATGTGACTGTTGAAACTCAGGTCAGAGTCCATGACTACACCTAGATTTCTGGCTTTATCTGTTGTTTTGAACATTGCACATGAAGCTCAGTGCTAACTTTTATACGTTCTGCGTTACGTTTTATAAGAAGCACAATAAGTGGAAAGCACGCCACTGTTTCTCCGCCGCTTCGAGGTTCCGGTGCGTGTTTGCATGTGTTTTTTTTATTAAACTTTTCAAGGTGGGGGTGGGTGGTGGTGATGGTTTGTTCTAAAACATTGAAAATGGATGAAGATCATTGGTCTCATTGTGCCTGTGGAAGAAAAATGCAGAATGCTCTTCCCAACGTTTAAGAGATTTTGTTCTAGACACAGAACGGGTTAAGGCCCTGACACACCAAACTGACACCAAAGAACACGTCCCGACTGGAACACCCCGCAAAGACTTCAGCCGACGGCCAAGTAGCACGTACGAACTGCGCATGCGTGAGTGGCAATAACTCTCCTTACCAGCAGGCGGCGGTAGTGTGTATTCGTCATTCAAAAGAGGCAACCAACCGGAAGACAGACTGCGTGATACACCGAGAGAAGAAGAACAGACTGCGTGATATAAACAAACAACAAATAGCATGTGCGTTGGTCCTTCGGTTTCTTCATTCCAGATCGCCATGATGAAAAATAAACTCTTGCGTCCAGGTGAGATGAAAATGAAAAAGAATAGCCATCTGTGGTGTGCCTTCTTAATCGTTTGTTTTGGTCCCTCACTTCCGCTTTCGCTTCTCATGCACTGATTCGCTAAGCTGAACAGCCAATCAGAGTGATTTCTTTGGCCGACGACCTTTAGCCAACATGTCGAATCGGCGGCGGGAGGTGTCGGCATGGCCGAAAATACACAACGGGGCGGGACACACCAACCTGAGTAGGGCGACAGGAACGCTCATTGAGCGGCCAGACAATCTATCGACGGCCAAAATCGGGTTGGTGCGTCCGGCCCTTAGGGTTAGGGGTTGTATAGAATGAGTGTCCCTGGTTGGGGTTAGGGGTTGTATAGAATTGAGTGTCCCTGGTTGGGGTTAGGGGTTGTATAGAATTGAGTGTCCCTGGTTGGGGTTAGGGTTAGGGGTTGTATAGAATTGAGTGTCCCTGGTTGGGGTTAGGGGTTGTACTAGAATTGAGTGTCCCTGGTTGGGGTTAGGGGTCTGTATAGAATTGAGTGTCCCTGGTTGGGTTAGGGGTTGTATAGAATTGAGTGTCCCTCGGTTGGGGTTAGGGTTGTATAGAATTGAGTGTCCCCTGGTTGGGGTTAGGGGTTGTATAGAATTGAGTGTCCCTGGTTGGGGTTAGGGGTTGTATAGAATTGAGTGTCCCTGGTTAGGGTTAGGGGTTGTATAGAATTGAGTGTCCCTGGTTGGGGTTAGGGGTTGTATAGAATTGAGTGTCCCTGGTTAGGGTTAGGGGTTGTATAGAATTGAGTGTCCCTGGTTGGGGGTTAGGGGTTGTATAGAATTGAGTGTCCCTGGTTAGGGTTAGGGGTTGTATAGAATTGAGTGTCCCTGGTTAGGGTTAGGGGTTGTATAGAATTGAGTGTCCCTGGTTAGGGGTTGTATAAAATTGAGTGTCCCTGGTTAGGGTTAGGGGTTGTATAGAATTGAGTGTCCCTGGTTAGGGTTAGGGGTTGTATAGAATTGAGTGTCCCTGGTTAGGGGTTGTATAGAATTGAGTGTCCCTGGTTAGGGTTAGGGGTTGTATAGAATTGAGTGTCCCCTGGTTAGGTTAGGGGTTGTATAGAATTGAGTGTCCCTGGTTAGGGTTAGGGGTTGTATAGAATTGAGTGTCCCTGGTTAGGGTTAGGGGTTGTATAGAATTGAGTGTCCCTGGTTAGGGTTAGGGGTTGTATAGAATTGAGTGTCCCTGGTTAGGGTTAGGGGTTGTATAGAATTGAGTGTCCCTGGTTAGGGGTTGTATAAATTGAGTGTCCCTGGTTAGGGTTAGGGGTTGTATAGAATTGAGTGTCCCTGGTTAGGGTTAAGGGGTTGTATAGAATTGAGTGTCCCTGGTTGGTTAGAATGAGGTCTTAGGTTGTTATAGAATTGAGTGTCCCCTGGTTAGGGTTAGGGGTTGTATAGAATTGAGTGTCCCTGGTTAGGGTTAGGGGTTGTATAGAATTGAGTGTCCCTGGTTAGGGTTAGGGGTTGTATAGAATTGAGTGTCCCTGAAGCTGAGGACACAATAATAAAAACCCATCATGTGTTAACTTTAGTGTAGAATGGGAGGATACTCAATGAGAGGACAGTTCTAGGGGAGTGTGTCACAGACAGACAGATGGAGGAGGGGGGGGGGACGTCACCGGTCACGTCCCCGAGGCAGAGAAACCCCCCCCCCACCTCAGCCCCCGGAGCCTGGGTGAGAACTCATTTCCCCGTCAATTATTCAGCAGCTGTTTGTTTAATGCCTTCTTGATAGAGTGTACCTAATCCGCTGCCACTCTGACCAGGAGGAGGAACAAAGCAAACATTGAGCAAGAAACTGCTTTAGGTGGAAAAAGTATCAAAGAAAATGTTATATATATATTATATTGGCTGCATGAAAGAGGAGGGGGCCAGTATGTAGATACATTTTAGTGGGTTTGGGTTATTCAAGGCCTACGTTTTTTTTTGTTTCTTTTGTACATTTAAATTTGTTGTAAATACTTTCTTTATTCTTTAGTAAATATCTTTATTGATTTTCTCCCTTTTCTTTACTCTTTCTCAATGTTAAATCTTTTTTTGTAATATATATTTTATTTTAATTGTTATATTTTCTTATGTTGTTTATATTTGCACCTCCATACACCAAAGCAACATTCCTTGTATGTGTAAACGTACCTGGACATTCAGATTCAGATTCTTTAAAAGATAGAATATCTACTCTTGCTTTACACGCTATTTTCCAGAAACACTCCAGAGGTGTGTGTGGGGATTGGACACAAGATGGGAAAGGAGGAGAAACAGGAAGAGGAAAGGTGGAGGAAGAAGAGAGGGGAAACACAAACAGGAAGTGAGCCTGTAATGGTGCAGACAAGCTCCCAGACATGGCTGACACACCTATTTAAACCCACAGCAGGGGGTGAAGAGAAGGCTCAATGGTGTGTGTGTGTGTGTGTGTTTCAGAGATCACACCTCACTCTCTGTTTAAGACACAGACACGCGCCTCAGTTCTGTGAAACGTCTTTGAACAAGGTCAGCGGCAGACGGGAAGAGAACAGTTGAGTGTGTGAAAATAACAAAAGGTGGAGGAAGATGGAGGGCTGTTCAGAGGTGAGGAGCAGTCACACCCCCCCCCCCCCCCCTCTTTCTTTCCCCCTAAATCCCCATGGAGGAGTTGCTCCCCGCGGCGGGACAAAAGCCTGACAACCAGACGTGCCACACCTCAGATTAGATTCTGAACACGGACTCAAAAACACTCTGCACACTGCATGTTATTTATTTTTACAACACTTATGGAGATTTAGAAATCTGGAAAAAATACTATCAATCTTTCATATTTTCCTTTTTTTAATAGCTTAATTGAATGCCATTGGCGGATATCAGTGATAAGTGATACTTTGGGGGTTTTGGCGCCCCCTGTTGGTTATTTTCAGATTTTTTTCTTCTTCAAATAATTATACAAAAATAAATGTTATCCGCTATCCCCATCTTATTTATTTCACCCATCTTTCACCAGTCTTGCTTAGTAAGAATCTCATTTTGTTTTGTCCGTTTGGCAGATTTCTAGATATAAAAAATCACGGGCTGTCAGATTTTAACATCTGTTTCTTGGCTCTTCCATTTGATTGCCTTCCGATGCACAAAAGAGGGAATATGTTATTTAATCGTGCAGTAGAAAGGAATGCATGGCATGACAGCACCTTCATTTAAAAATGTAAACAGTCCAAGTATTGGTAAATGCTAAAAGAACTGTCATTAGAGGAAATAACCTATTCAATTAAAGGAAAACAAGACTATTTAAAAAGCATGAGAAGGATGGAAGCCTTTCATATCTGCCTACATGTTTGTATGTTTGCTCACATAGCCTAGCCACATGTTTGTGTAGTTAATTTAATGCACTTCATTTTGTTATGTCTTCTGGATGTTTGTCTACTTTCTCATATATTGTCTATATATGCTAAAAACATGCAACTGATCAGTGTAAAAAAAAAAGTTTCATTATCGGTTGATATATTGTTATAAGATCATTTCTTTGCCCAATTACAGAGTATCCGTGGGGCTAAAGTAACAACAATCATGGGCATTTGGGTTTGGACATCTCGATTAGCTCCAAAATATTGGTTATGAATGATTTTAAAACAAACTATTTCAGCTCCCCCTCCCTCCCGTAGATCCAGGTACTCTTCAGTCCCCCCTCCCTCTATTCAGCTCTGAGAAAAGAGAGGACCCGAGGGTGCAGGTGAGGAAGAACTAGCTGGATGAAGATGTACCTCACCCTCACATAAAACCTGACAGTACTCACATGCATCAGGGAGTAGTAGGCCTGTTTGCCGGTGTAGAACAGGAAGTGGAACGGCCGTCCGTCCTCCCCCCACTGCACAGCTTCAATACAAGACAGACAAGCAGTTAGAATGTATACAAACATTCATATTAGAAAAGAAAGAAATGACAGTTAACATACCTTTCTGCCTGGGGAAGATTTCCTCTGGATGCTGGAAATAAAGCGGGAGATATTGTGTCATATTGTGGAGACTTAAAACACACGTTTGTTTGGTACAGACCCTCTTATGAATAAAAAATGATCAATCCCAACAATATAGTTATTCATTATGCAATTACAATATCAGTCAAAAATAATCAGTTACTTCTTTTGGCCAAGTCGTGCAGCCATACTAAATATATGATACCATTACGTTATAAATTGTATTCAATTAAAGGTCCCCTATTATACTGTTTTTCGTCAATATATTACAGGTCTCAGATACATACAGAACCTGTCTCTGAAGTGTCTGAAACACCAAACAGATCATTGCAGCATCCCATAATCCCCTCTGTTTCAGCCCTGTTTCCAAAGTGCTGATTCTATAGAGGTTTCTCAATTCTTAAATGTCCCCTCCTCGACTCCTATCCTCGACTCCTATCCTCGAGATTTAGTCCCGCCCGCAGGAGATGCGAGCGGAGGAGCCGAGAAGGGGAGCCGAGGAGAGAGGAGGGGAAGCAGCAGGCGGTTAGAGAAATGAGAACTCCTCTTCTCTGAGCGGTCATTTTAAAGAGACGTCCATTAATGATGACAGAGACTGGATATATCCCCCCCCCTCTCTCTGGTCGCTGAAATGGGGAATTGAAATTACGGGCCAAAAGTTGTATTTACAAGTATTAAAAGTAAGCAGAGGACACCAGACCAACTGAGACCCGTCTGTCCGCTGCATCTACGCACTGTACCACACACACACCTACACACTGTACCACACACACACCTACACACTGTACCACACAACCACAGGCACACGACCACACTGTACCACACACACACCTACACACTGTACCACACACACCTACACACTGTTACCACCAAACACACCCTACACACTGTAACACACAACACACCTACACACTGTACCACACACACACCCGTACCACAACACACACCGTACACACTACCACACCACCCTACACACTGTACCACACACCTACACACTGTACCACACACACACCTACACACTGTACCACACACACACCTACACAACTGTACCACACACACACCTACACCTGTACCAACACACCACACCTACACACTGTACCACACACACAGCACACCTTACACACTGTAACACACACACCACCTACACACTGTACCACACACACACACCTACACACTGTACCACACACACACACCTACACACTGTACCACCTACACACTGTACCACACACACACACCTACACACTGTACCACACACACACCTACAACACTGTACCACACACACACCTACACACTGTACCACACACACACATCACCTACACACTGTACCACACACACACACACACTTTACCACACACACACCTACACACTGTACCACACACACACACCTACACACTGTCCACACACACACACCTACACACTGTACCACACACACACACCTACACACTGTACCACACACACCTACGCACTGTACCACACACACCGTACCACACACACACCTACGCACCGTACCACACACACACCTACACACTGTACCACACACACACACCTACGCACTGTACCACACACACACCTACGCACTGTACCACACACACACCTACGCACTGTACCACACACACACCTACGCACTGTACCACACACACACCTACGCACTGTACCACACACACACCTACACACCGTACCACACACACACCCTACACACTGTACCACCACAAACACCTACACACTGTACCACACACACACCTACACACTGTACCACACACACCTACACACTGTACCACACACACACATCTACACACTGTACGTCACACACACCTACACACTGTACCACACACACACACTGTACCACACACACACACCCCTACACACTGTACCACACCACCACCTACACACTGTACCACACACACACTACCACACTGTACGTCACACACCACCTACACACTGTACCACACACACCTACACACTGTACCACACACACACACCTACACACTGTACCACACACACACCTACACACTGTACCACACACACACCTACACACTGTACCACACACACCTACACACTGTACCACACACACCTACACACTGTACCACACACACACCTACACACTGTACCACAGACACACACCTACACACTGTACCACACACACCTACACACTGTACCACACACACCCTACACACTGTACCACACACACACCTACACACTGTACCACACACACACCTACACACTGTACCACACACACACACTACACTGTACCACACACACCTACACACTGTACCACACACACACACCTACACACTGTACCACACACACACACCTACACACTGTACCACACACACACCTACACACTGTACCACACACACCTACACACTGTACCACACACACACACACTGTACACAGACACACACCTACACACTGTAACCACACACCTACACACTGTACCACACACACACCTACACACTGTACCACACCCACCTACACACTGTACCACACACACTACACACTGTACCACACACCCTACACACTGTACCACACACACCTACACACTGTACCACACACACCTACACACTGTACCACACACACACCACACACACCTACACACGTACCACACACACACCTACACACTGTACCACACACACCTACACACTGTACCACAGACACACACACTACACCTGTACCACACACACACTGTACCACACACACACCTACCCACTGTACCACACACACACCTACACACTGTACCACACCACACCTACACACTGTACCAACACACACACACCTACCACTGTACCACACACACACCTACACACTGTACCACACACACACACCTACACACTGTACCACACACACACCTACACACTGTACCACACACACCTACACACTGTACCACACACACACCTACACACTGTACCACACACACACACACACACTACACACTGTAACCACACACACACCTACACACTGTACCACACACACACCTACACACTGTACCACACACACCTACACACTGTACCACACACACACACACACTGTACCACAACACACACCTACACACTGTACCACACACACCTACTGTACCACACACACCTACACACTGTACCACACACACCTACACACTGTACCCCACACACACACACACTGTACCACACACCCACCTACACACTGTACCACACACACCTACACACTGTACCACACACACCTACACACTGTACCACACACACACCTACACACTGTACCACACACACACCTACACACTGTACCACACACACACACCTACACACTGTACCACACACACACCTACACACTGTACCACACACACACCTACACACTGTACCACACACACCTACACACTGTACCACACACCTACACACTGTACCACACACACCTACACACTGTACCACACCACACACCTACACACTGTACCACACACACACCTACACACCTGTACCACACACACACCTACACACTGTACCACACACACACACCTACACACTGTACCACACACACACCTACACACTGTACCACACACACCTACACACTGTACAACACACACCTACACACTGTACCACACACACACCTACACACTGTACCACACACACACCTACACACTGTACCACACACAACCTACCACTGTACCACACACACCTACACACTGTACCACACACACCTACACACTGTACCACACACACCTACACACTGTACCACACCTACAGCTCCTAAAGCACAATCAGGCTACAGCCGTTGTGTGTTTTATTTTGTGAAGCACTAAATGGTTTTAGAAAAATCTGGACTCTTTGTTTGTAGATATCTACTAAACTAAAGCAAATAAAGAGAGTAGGCCTGTTCTACTGAGTGATATATATTATACACACTGCTCTGCTTTCTGCACGGACCTCACAGCTGTTCTCTCTGGAAACATCGCGACGTGATGAAAGCAGTTAATAAAATAATATCCAAGGGATGCATGCAGAGCTGTCATTGGCTGAGAAAAGTCCGGCCGTGCGTCACGCCTCCACCGTTCCCGGAAATGCATCCACGAAGGAGCCGTGGAGGACCCATCAGTGTCTCCTCGGTTAGAGCTCCTCCAGAGACGCTCGATCCTCGGTCCTCGATGTGCATTTAGAGAAATGAGATGTCCTTCAAAATGGCACGCTGAAATCCATTTCCGGGTCACTACTGGAGGACCGAGGAGTCGAGGAGTCGAGGAGTCGTGGAGGGGAAATTTGAGTATTGAAAAACCTCTTGTGTCTGTAGCTTTAAATGCTAATGAGCTGCTGCTGGCCACGCCCCTATGATAAGTGATTGGTTTAAAAAAACAAAACACAATGGTGCTATAGGAGGAGATTCAGGGGATAAGGTGTGGGGGGGGGTTACCTTGGTTGCTGATTGGCTAATGGTTACACAACCCAAAAAAACATTTTCAGACAGGTTTTTATATAAATGGATCCGGACAAAAAGAGAGGGGGTCTTTGTTCCTGAGACTTTCAGAGTCTCTTTCCACAAAGGGGACACATGTTTCTGTACTAGAGACTAAGTGGATTTTGCACTTTAAGATGACTCCTTAGGTTAGTTCTCCCAAACCTTATTACTTTCTTATGTCTCTTTATGTATGTATGGTCAAAAGCAGTTCAGCCAAAGAGGTCAAAGTAGTTGTCTTTCACAAAACAAAAAAAAAGGTGACATTTTCTGGTCTAGTTCTATTATGGAAGTGAATAAAAACGACATATTATGGGGGGAAAAAGTCCCTAAATGTCACAATAAAACCAATAAAAGTAACCTTCACGCCATTCGAAATCGAAATGTTTACCTTTAAACTTGAAAGAAAAGTGGAGTTGATATGAGCTCACAGACTTACCTTCATGAGGGGCCGGGCCTTCTTCTCAAACAGGCCGGAGGGGAAGAGGTAGGCGATGCTCCTCTGTGGGAGAGAGAAGGAAATGAAAACATAAATAACAGGAAACAAGGGGGCAGTTTGAGACATGATGGCAGATCATGACAACGCTGACATGTCGCAACAGCGGAGGTCACGCCAGCGGACGACAGTGAAAGTGACAGTAGAAGAAGAAGAGGAGGAAGCGCAAGCTGCTGCGGGTTCAAGGAAAGGCTGAGGAGAGGAGGAGCAGGAAAAGGCACAAGTTGGGTGACAGCGAGGAGAGGACACTGTTCACTCCAAGTTCACCTTCCTCCGTGTGTGTGTGATTAGCAGGGCTACAGATGGCACTGTGAGTGTGTGTGTGTGTGTGTGTGTGTGTGTGGAAGGGGGGGAGACAGAAAGTGTGCTGGCTCTGCCACACTCATCTCTCTCTTCCTCCATCCCCTCCTCTTCCTCTCCGTCCGTTCATTAGTGAGGCAGCAGGTGTAGGGGGGGGAGCAGGTTGTTGCTTTAAGGTTGTCAAAACTGGGGAAAGCAGGAAGAAAAAGGGCCGGCCGAGAGACGTGTGTGTGTGTGAGGGACAGGAAGAGAAGGTAAAAAGGTACAGAGAGAAGCAGGGAACAGATGAACACACACCTGTGTCCCCTGAGTCTCAGCATCATGTGGCAGAGACCCCCGGGGGCCAGAGACGCAGTGACAGGAGAGGAAAGAGACACACCAGCAGGGCATGTCGTTGTAGCTTGATAAATACAATCCTTGATCAAATAAATAACAATTGGAACCATTATTGAATGGAAATAGGACTCAAATGACTACTAAATCATGATCATTTGTAGCCTGGTTTTCTTTTTTCAATCAGATCATTCCTAATCTGTTTGCATGAGTTACTTATTCAATTATATACCTAACTAAATGTCCACCCATATTTTCCAGAGCACAAGCTGGTGTCTGGAACGATTTGCCAAAGATATTCCATAGTTTTCTTATGGAAACGAATAAAAACAAGATATTATGGGGGAAAAAAGTAACTAAATGTAAAACCAACCAATCAAATGAACCTTTAAAGGTCACCTATCATGCTATTTTTAGGCAATAGCATAGGTCTCAGATATATACAAATTAGGGATGCACGATAATTATCGGCCCGATAATTATCGGCCCGATAATTATCGGCCCGATAATTATCGGCCCGATAATTATCGGTCCGATATTAGGAATTATGACGTCATCCCGATAAACCTGATACCAGTATTAATAGCCCCGATAATATACAATATATTTTTTGGGTAAAAAAAAAGAAACAATACTGCGGTGTGGGTGGATTGGGATGAGGGGCGCTTGTTTTTTCATTCGGCTCCTCCCGTTTTGCCAGTACTGTGGTATTAGTGGTTTAGGAAGAGGGGAGTTCTTCACAAATCCAGCGCTCCCTAACTCATGCCTGGCTGTGACGTAAATGGTGTGCAGCCGTGAAGCCAGGACAGAAACAAACATGTCGTCGGTGGTATGGGCGTTGGAGCTATGTGCAACTCAAGGCATATGCTCGAACCGGAGCTGCCTGGACGCTGCAATCATGTTGCGCACTATCCGAGCTGAGTGTGCTGACTTTTCGTACAATGTCCCACTGTCTGGCTTCCTGCATAAAGTCAAGTGCTCGGCGCAGTTGTGGCAAAATGTCGCTCCTCTGTTTTCATTTAAACAGCTCCTTATATCCGTTAGCGCAGCTAGCTAGCACCAGATGCTAACAACAACAATGCACGTAAGATCTCTCTCTCTCTCGCTCGGGCCACACATACACACACCCTCCCGGTCCTCCAGATGGCCAGTCGGTGCCTGCCGGTGAGCGTGGAAGTGTGGTCTGCCACAAGCGGGCGGCAGGAGCGGGGCTGTCAGCATCAGCTTGTAGATGGTATTTTAAACTCGATGCGCTCTGAAACTACGGGGCGACCAAGGAAAAAAAATACACATGCGTTAATCGCGTTAAAATAATTAGTGGCGTAAATTTTTTTTTATTATCGGTTATCGGTATCGGTCTTGAGAAGCAGGAAGTTATCGGTATCGGTTTCAAAAAACCAATATCGTGCATCCCTAATACAAATATATAAAAACATGTCTATGAAGTGGTTTGCTCTAAATACCAAACAGATCACCCGTTCTAGCCATGCCTCATATCCCTCTATTTCACTTCCTGTTTCAAAAGTGCTGATTTTGGGTATAAAGCTTTAACAAAAAAAAGAATTGATAAAAAAGAGGGGCGGAGCTTATGCCGCTCATGCGGTAGATTCTACCGGCAGATACTGCCGTGATGAAACGCCTTATCAAGGATTCTCTCTGAAACAGTCTGGAGCTCAAAGGCTTTCTCTCTTGCCGGTTATACCACAAGGTGAGTTCCTTTTTACTTCCTGCTTCTGCTGAGTGTTAGCGATGCTAATGTAAACACCGACCATATTACGTCCAAAGCAGTCGGGCATTGTTTCTGATAGCAGCTTTCCGATTGGGCCGTGGGTCCACATTTCAGATATTACGTCATATCGGACGCAAATCTGGATCAGCTCCGTTGTAGCCCCGTTTTTAGAGATTTGGGTACGGAGGAAAAGAGAGAGGGTTTTATTTTCTGACGCTGCGTGAGTTCCCCGACACACCGGGGACACATGTTGATGTAGAAGAGACATCAAAAAGTGTACTTTGCATGATAGGTCCCCTTTAAGTCATAAGAAATGACATAAAGAAGCAAGAAAGCTAAACAAGTGATAGTATTCTGCCTGATTAAGGTGTAACAAATTAATAAATGATCGAAAAATATGTATTTTTGTAAAAATGTAAAGATATGAAGCAGTAGATTGAAAGAATGCTGGCTGGAAATCTCACCTTGGGTCCAAATAAGTATTTTAAGATATATTTTTTAAGTTGTATAATATTTAAGTTTAAGAAAATAATTTATAGTTCAAACTTTTATTTTGGAATACGAGTAATTTAAGACATTTCTATGTGTGTGGCTTCCCCTGTCTGTCTTTCATTTCCCCTGGGTCTTCATCACCATCACACCTGAGCCCTAAACTGGGGCGGGGGATCCATCAGGTCCCTCTCCGCCCCTCTCCAGTCCCCCTAAATGTTCCCCTTCCCCTCCACACGTCTGCAGTCGGGCTGCTCTCCGTCGCTTCAGCTTTCACAGCGCGGCCCTAACAGCTCTCTTCATTATTCGTGAGGGACACCGGGGACTGGCCGAGGGAAAGTGGGAAATCGAGCTAAGTGGTCGGAGCTGTGAGAGCGGATGTGTTGCCAAAATCTGGAATAATAGCGGGCGTTGCTAATCTCCCCGATGCAGCAGATTACAGACCTCCAGCTGGGAGATAAAAACCCAATTAATGTTTCAAATGCTTTAACCGCTTGTGTCTTTTAAACTGCATCTCATGAGAAGAGGAGACGTTTTAGGACGCTTTGGAAATAGTTTGTACAACAACAAAAGTTTGTATGTACAGTAAAGACATTTCGATTCAGTTGATATGAAGTGCCGTGAGGCAAGTCCGGGTGTGCCGTGGGATTTTGTGACAACCATACGTTATTATTGCAATATACAACTACACAAAAATAATTATGTTTTAATTTACTATATCAGTACTTTGTAGGTTTATATGTACGTAACCTGCGCGACTTGCCCGTCCACATCTCCACGTGCAGTGCTGCATAAACATGGCTGAGTCAGCGATAACTTTCGAGGGGTGGAGGTATGCCCATTACTTTGAGTTCGTCCGAAGAATAGACAGGAATGTGACGGTGAGGTGCAAACTGTGTCCAGGCCAGAAGCTGTTATCCACTGCTGGAAACACCACGTGGTCAAACCTCAACAAACACCTGCAAAGAACACATGCTAAGGTGAAGCTACCGCACACGCTATTTGTTGTTTGTTTATATCACGTAGTCTGTTCTTCTTCTCTGTCTTCCGGTTGTTGCCTGTTTTGAATAACAAATACATACTACCGCCGCCTGCTGGTAAGGAAAGTTATTGCCACTCACGCATGCGCAGTTCGTACGTGCTCGGCGAGTAAAGTAACGAGTTACTTTATGTAGAGAGTAACAAAGAGTGTAATATATTACTTTTTTTAAAGTAACAAAGTAGTGTAATATATTCCTTTTTTTAAGTAATATGTAATATATTACTTTTTTTTAGTAACGACCCCATCTCTGGAGTTGGCGTTCTCTACTCTGATTTACATGAAGAACAACAGGAGGTCACGGCTCTCTGTTGAACAGGATTTGTGAGTGGCCCTCTCCTCAGTGCCACCAAGGATTAAAAAATTCTGCGCGCCCCGACAGGCACATGTATCTCACTAATTTGTAAGTCGGCAAAATATTTACAATAGCACATGTTTCAATGCTGATTGCTGAAATGTTACATTTATAATTTGTAGTTCAGGACCATGGTCAATGCAGCTTCCTTGCATTGACAGTTCTCTATGCTGAATTTCTGCTGAGTTTCCTTTGCCTCATTTCTAATGTTGTGACCTGTCTGGTTTAAATGAGTGTGTTGCTGCTTTGATGAAGCCTAATTTGATAAAGTTTCAAATTAATTTCTGAAATATTTCGTTAAGAAATATTTCATGAGTAATATAGTTGTCTTTGTCACATTGTATTTGGCATTAGTAAATAATGATGCATATTACAGATATTTTACATGATATGAGTGATAACACGTGTTATAAGGGCTATTTTGCACAATAGGTGTGCCTTGAGATTTTTACTTGTCCAAAAAGTTTGGGAACCACTGAGCTAGATGATAGGAAAGGAGCTTTGAAACTTCCTTTATTTAGGAAACACTGGACCTTCCTTTTACATAAGGAGATGAGAAAATGCTGCCCCACAATGCCTTGCGGTCGCCACATTACCGTGACACAACATTTGTCTGTTTACAGAAAGAACCGATCGTGACAAATAAGTATCATGACAGTTACGGTGCTTATTGAGCAGTTGCCAAAGTGCTTTGTTTTGAACACTATAATAATCAAAAGGAGAAATATGAACGTTACTGTTTCACTGTAAAAGGATCAAATAAAGTCTCTGTGTTCACTGAGCTGTGTGGGGTTCTTCAGCCGTTTGGAATGGTGATGTTAAGGCCTAACAACTTTATAATAAATACATTTGTATTTATTTAAAAATATATTCATACAATCATACATATTGGGACCATGTGGATTCATACGTATTTACCTAAGGGTGACAACAATAAGTTTCACTTGACTTTTTTAGTTCAGTTCCAAACAAAGGAAGAGTATAGGTTCCACTCCTTTTGATTTCTCCTCTCCACTGCTCCTTGAGCTCTGTGTGAAATGTCACGGGGTTAAGGAGCAGTGGAGAGGAAAAGACGACAGGAGTTTTTGGGCAACCCCAAAGAAAACAGCACTTGTGTGTCTGCAGAAAACCACAATGCCTCTTTCTCTTACATCTACGTCTTCCTGGGTGAAGTCCTCGGGGTCCTCTCCCATCATATTAGCCAGGTGCCGCTTCCCGTTGTTGTACTCCTCCACCTGCTTCTGGATGAACTCCAGACTGAACTTCTCGGGCCCCGGGTTCAGGTTCTTCCTGCGGAGGACCGAGGCCACACATATCTGCCTGCTCAGCACCTGAGGAGGAGGAGGAGGAGGAGGAGCACACTTAATGTAAATAATATCCTACTTTAAATGTCCATGTAGCTGTATTTGGCCCGTCATAGTGTTTATTTGACAGATCTACATCAGGGTGTCCAAACTACGGCCCAGGGCCAACTACGGACCATGGTCCATTTTGAATTGGCCCTGAGCTATTTCTTAAAAGTATAATGTTCCAGTATATGGCCCATACCTGAAGCTTGTGCTTTCCTTATATTGTACTTCTTAAATGGTATCCGTGTGTTAATAAGCCCACTTTTCAAATAACTTCCGTCAATTGAAGTTGAAAACATTTTCTAACAAATTAAAGCCTATTCAAGAAACAAGCTAAATGTACCTACATCTCTCACTCACAATATGTATATATTTTACTTTTTGGTTGTTTGATTTTCTATTGTGATATGTTTAGATTTTAAGTGTGTTCATTTTCTTATCTTTTTCATTTGCACATGATGTGCCTTGTTAACATGTTACTATGACGAAAAAAGGTCCCAAATTGCGGTCAATATAGTAAAAGATATATGATAAAAGTGATATGAAACTATGCTTACTTGGTAAATATCTTGGTCAGAACCCAGCCGAATTCTAGTTTAGTGCTCAATAATGTCTCAAAGTAAATTGCACCATGATAAAGTGTAATACTACCTTGTGTAACTGTCATTTTATATATTTGTCAAGCAAGATTCGGCTAACGGAAGCTGCAGCAGGATGCTAGCTCAAGGACGTCAGTGTGTGTGCATTGCAGTCTATCCCTACGAGTTCACGTTTACTTTACAGGCACAACTTGTGAGTTTCTGTGAAAGCAAAAGCATATTTTACCTGTCGGCTTAATTGTGATGAGAGACTGTTCATACTCGAGCTGCAATTCCTACATTTTCCTAAAATCGATCCCACGGTTCTCATACAGGACGCCGCCATGTTTACTGACAGCGATGACGTCGGCGGCGGAAGTTGTTACACGTCATTGACATGTGCCATGAATTGTTAAATAAAAACAAAAAAGATTTCATTATTTTTATTTTTGAAAACATAACAACATCTTTAACTATTACATGCTTATTGTCTTTCTTAGATTTAGCTGTTATTCTTCATGTCGGAATAAATTAAGCTTTAGTGTCTGTCAACTTGATTATATATTTTAAACTCTAATGACATGGGTATATAAATACATATTATATAGGAATCATAGTCTATATGAAATCTCAACTATTTTTTAAATAATGCCAGATAAAACTTTGAGATTTGTTTGTAATGGTATGTATTCAATTGTTCTTGAATCAATAAAACAAATGAAAATAGTTCAACCCTAAAGCTTTTTATATATCCACTTCACGTATTTCACCATAAGGCAAAACGCACGATATAATTAAAACAGTGTTGAGTGTTTATAACATTGGAAAAGATACAAAGACAGTATTGGTTGTTTATTGCATTTATACAGTGACAACTCAGAAGTTTGTTAGAAAACATTAGAAATTGAAATTGAATGTTGAAATGCAAGTAAGTAAAATTGAGAATATAACAGATCTTCTAACCACATGCAACAACAACAACAACAAAAGAAAGAAGAAAGTATGTACTCTCATGTTCCGAATAACCCAGCTTCCCCCAAATGTCTTTTTTGGTGTCTATCTACGCCAGGATCCTGAGTGGTGGCTGATCCTGTTGCTGTGGTCCTGAGTCCTGGATCCTCTATCCTGAGTCCTGGACTTCGAGTCGTGGCTGAACCTGTCTCTGCGGTCCAGACTCACACACCCTGATGGCTCCCACAGGATTGCTGACATCCTCGTGGATTCATCTTCCTATTATACACACATGCATTTCCAAACATTTGGACTACCTATGTTGCAAATGTATTATCTTTTCAATTTACACACGGCATCTATTGCACGTCTGTCCGTCCTGGGAGAGGGATCCCTCCTCTGTTGCTCTCCCTGAGGTTTCTCCCATGTTCCCCTTAAACTGTGGGTTTTCTTCGGAAGTTTTTCCTTGTACGATGTGAGGGTCTAAGGACAGAGGGTGTTGTATTGTCATACTGATATTCTGTACAAACTGTGAAGTCCACTGAGACAAATGTAACATTTGTGATATTGGGCTATATAAATAAACATTGATTGATTGAAGAAACTGTTCAGAAATTAAAAGAAAAAGAAGAGACTGAACTGGATAATCCAAGCCACATGACCAGGGACCACAATATTGCAAATCTTGCCTGAAATGACAAATGAAGCGCTGCAAATGTGTATCCAACAAGGACAAACATTCTTAAAGCAATTGAAAATAGTGGTTCTTTTTCATTCTATTGTCTGCATCATTTACTCAGCTTTTGTGATGTAACCACATCACATCACAATGTCCCAGCTCATTGAAATCGTGTATTGTTCAGCATTATCGTGAAGATTCAAAACACGTGGCCAGTGCCACATGTTGGAGTTAAAAGCTCTGCAGTGATCCAGGCTAGCACACCAAAACTATTCCTCATGTCCTTTTGTTGAGGTTGGAAATGAACACCAGCCATCGCCTGGATGTTGAAGGCTAAAAACGACTTCAAACTTGTTTATCTACAGGTTGAAAAATGACAGAATCCACCTGTCACTTTGTCAATTTGCAGAAAAAACATCGTTAAAACAGCAGACTTCATTTGGAAGATTGTACATAAGAAGTTCCACGATAATTCAGTTCTTTCTCCCATTGTTTCAGACTATGACATCACATGATCACCATGTCTGGCACCAGCTTTTTGCATACAAGCAGAGGTGGGAAGTAGTGGAGTACAAATACTGTGTTACTGTACTTAAGTACACGTTTCTGGTATCAGTACTTTACTCCACTACTTATTTTTCTGACGACTTTTTACTTTGACTACATTTTGAACCCAAACACCTGTACTTTCTACTTCTTACATGTTGAACACAAATACCTGTACTTTCTACTTCTTACATGTTGAACACAAATACCTGTACTTTCTACTTCTTACTGTTGAACACAAATACCTGTACTTTCTATTTCTTACATGTTGAACACAAATACCTGTACTTTCTTACTTCTTACATGTTGAACACAAATACCTGTACTTTCTACTTCTTACATGTTGAACACAAATACCTGTACTTTCTACTTCTTACATGTTGAACACAAAATACCTGTACTTTCTACTTCTTACATGTTGAACACAAATACCTGTACTTTCTACTTCTTACATGTTGAACACAAATACCTGTACTTTCTACTTCTTACATGTTGAACACAAATACCTGTACTTTCTACTTCTCACATGTTGAACACAAATACCTGTACTTTCTACTTCTTACCATGTTGAACACAAATACCTGTACTTTCTACTTCTTACATGTTGAACACAAATACCTGTACTTTCTACTTCTTACATGTTGAACACAAATACCTGTACTTTCTACTTCTCACATGTTGAACACAAATACCTGTACTTTCTACTCTTACATTTTGAACTCAAATACCTGTACTTTCTACTTCTTACACTTTGAACTCAAATACCTGTACTTTCTACTTCTTACATGTTGAACACAAATACCTGTACTTTCTACTTCTTACATGTTGAACTCAAATACCTGTACTTTCTACTTCTTACATGTTGAACCCAAATACCTGTACTTTCTACTTCTTACATTTTGAACTCAAATACCTGTACTTTCTACTTCTTACATGTTGAACACAAATACCTGAACTTTCTACTTGTTACATGTTGAACTCAAATACCTGTACTTTCTACTTCTCACATTTTGAACACAAATACCTGTACTTTCTACTTGTTACATGTTGAACTCAAATACCTGTACTTTCTACTTCTTACATGTTGAACATAAATACCTGTACTTTCTACTTCTTACATGTTGAACCCAAATACCTGTACTTTCTACTTCTTACATATTGAACCCAAATACCTGTACTTTCTACTTCTTACATGTTGAACTCAAATACCTGTACTTTCTACTTCTCACATTTTGAACACAAATACCTGTACTTTCTACTTCTTACATGTTGAACTCAAATACCTGTACTTTCTACTTCTTACATGTTGAACTCAAATACCTGTACTTTCTACTTCTTACATGTTGAACACAAATACCTGTACTTTCTACTTCTCTCATTTCCCAAACAGCTGGTTCCTTTAGTCTGAATGTGTGTTTGATGCGTGATCATTATTCTTTAGAGTCATTGCGTGCCTATTGATTTGAACACGATCCGTGTATCCATCATTTCCTGGTCTTCTCTAAAGAAGAGGGACCAATGGAAACGTTGTCATGTTGCCGTTGTTCAGCATGGAAACATTCATTAGCTAACAATGACATTATTGTTCTATTAATATAAAGGGAGGTCAGGTACTCTTTAAAACAGCTGCTAGGTATGGGTACTGTTTACTTAAGTACATTTCAAAGCCTCTTTACTTTGACTTGAGTAAAGACGTTTAGTCAGTACTTCTACTTTTACCAGAGTATTTTTAAACACAAGTATCTCTACTTGAGTAAATGATGTGTGTACTTTTGCCATCTCTGCATATAAACAGTTGAAACCACTTTGACCTCAGAGACCCGAAAACCTTTTTACTTGTAAGGCCCTGATGCCCTGTCCAGTTTAATGTGAGCTGCATGTGAGCACCATCTGTCTTCCATGTTCAAGTCACTGACAATAACAGGGGTACTGTAAATGTCACGCCACAGGATTTAAAGCAGCCGATCCACATGAGTTATCAGAAATAACACAATGAAAAATGCTCAGTCACCGTCTGCCAAGCACGCTGGCAAGGCTACACAGAAAACAGATTGTTTTGCATATGTGCTGCGGTCGGTGCTGGGCAGTGCAGAGATGGATTAACACAAGCTGCCGCACCTTACCCAAACTTCTCTTCCTTCCTCCATGAAGCCATGATTTCGGGCTTTTCAGTGACTCGTTGCAACATTTGTCTAATGGTTTTGGTAACAAATAAATGTATACCTATGGCTTTGCAGGGAGTAGAAGCATTATTTTAAATCATCTTATTGAACATCCCCAATCGATTTTTTTGCACATTCTGCTAGGGCTGCTCGATTATGGCAAAAATCATAATCTTTTTTTTGAACAGTATGTTTTGAACAGTTGATTACCCTGAACTTTAAGTATAATTCAACTGAAAAAGTAATAATAATAATAAAAAAATAATCGTTTTATTTCGATTACGTTATTATTACAAGCCATAATCGTAATTGCAATTAAAATACGATTAATTGAGCAGCCCTACATTCTGCACAAAACATCTCTCTCAATAATTTCACTGGTAATGGATATACATAATGATAGTTGTATTGTATATATTTGAAGTATCTTTTTCTTAATTTCTATATTTTACCGTACTTGAAAGATTTTATATTTTATTTTCTCTTAATATCTTTATTGCATGCAACAAACAGCAAGACACATTCCTTGTACGTGAACAACCTTGACAGTACAACTTATTCTGTTTCTCATGTTTTGTCTCATTATATATGTACTTTTTACACTTTCTGTCCTTTATTATCCCAATGGCATTTATTTAATTGGGTAGAATAAAGTTATATTTCTGCAAACATATATTTGTAATATAGGGATCTATATGACCTGATAGATAGATAGATAGATAGATAGATAGATCGATAGATAGATAGATAGATAGATCGATAGATAGATAGATCGATAGATAGATAGATAGATAGATAGATCGATAGATAGATAGATAGATAGATAGATCGATAGATAGATAGATAGATAGATAGATAGATAGATAGATAGATAGATAGATAGATAGATAGATAGATAGATAGATAGATAGATAGATAGATAGATAGATAGATAGATAGATCGATAGATAGATAGATAGATAGATAGCTAGATAGATAGATAGATAGATAGATAGATAGATAGATAGATAGATAGATAGATAGAGT